TGGGTTTTGTTTTTTAATAAAAAAAAGTGTGTATGTATAGTAGATACACTTCTAACCACAATATGAGGCAGATGGATGAGATTTTAAAGCTATTTTCTAGATAAAGCGATTAAAAACACTATCTTGAAATAGTGGGGTTTTCTTTCTTTATATGTGATACTTTTTTTTTTTTTTCCAGTCTGCCTAGTTAGTTTGTTAACAAATCTGTGAGTATTGTATTTGACTTCAGTAAACTCATCTTTTTAGTGAGTCAAGCCACAAGGTGATATGCTCCTATGAGCGATCAAATGTGTACGTGTAGGATGTCTCTGCAGCTTTGTTTGTCCCCTGAAAGCAATTTCAGTAAAGAATCTCTTCCTATTGAAATCATTAAGGACTATTCCGAGTTCTACTGAATTCAGGGCAACCTGACTTGAACTTTTTCTTTTCCTCATTTTATGCTAGCTAGGTAAATTTCACCATGCATGACATTTACTTTGCTAGGTCACAAGGTTAGTCCAGTTCTCCACACCTGAACATACATAAAAATTGCTGAGGTTTTAGTTTGACATTCTGCAAGCTAACTGCTCCCTTCATATGTTGTCTTCTGACAGATACAATATTATGAAGGTGAAGATGCACCTGCAGGTATTTGAGTAATTTGCCAGTAACAGGTGCCAATGTCTCAGCTGCAGAGCCAAGGGGATGTGGGCATGGTGTAGTGAAGGTGAGCTTTGCAAGACCAACTCTGTTGTTGTACAAAGGGTACTGTAGCAAAAATACCACAAATTCTCATAACTGGATAATACTGTAGATAAACAGATGATATCTTTTTTCTTGAGTAGGCTATTTTTACAAAAGCGTTCTAAGCTAACCAAAGTGATCATAAATGTCCAGCATACTGTCCTCACTTGTGTGATGACTACATTCAGGCTTATGGGTAACAGCACTCAGCTTTCTCCTGGTCTCAGGGTGGGATGGCTCTCAGGGCTGCAGACTGGGTTTGCCAAAGTGTTGAAGCCTCAGAAGTCTGGAAAGTTCTTTTGCAGAGGGTTGCAAAACCTTCCCTCTGACACTACCTTTAGTAAAGAAGAAATCCATGGGTCTATTGTCTGTCTACAAATTTATTTACTTATTTGTTTTTCACTCAGGTTTCCGTTGTTGCTTAACTACTTCTCCAAACAAGTGTCCCTTGTAAGCTATAGTTTATTTTGCAGTAACCATGTGAGTCAGTGTAAGTGATCAGACACATCTAGATACAGATAAGTGCTCTGGGTTGTTTCTGAACATCCTACACACAACTGCAGGAGGACAGACGCTAGAAAATAACAAACACAGAGTCCTAAACTTGCACGTTGGCTGTAGGCATACTGCCAATTCTCACATAAAATTTGGCTTGCTCTCAATAACCAAGGAGCATTGAGTAAGTATTTTTCCTGTAATTGAATATAACGAGATTACTTAAGTGCTAGCCTCTCCGCCCATTGTTGTAATTGCCGGGTTAGTAAGATATTTAGATGTTTCCGTGCTGTTGAAAACCAGGTGCACTGTTTTCTGGAAATGACACTGAGGTTATACTTGTAGATTTGCAGGTAGATTGCACCCTGATTCAACTGATATTTGATTTGCCAGCATTCTTGCTGTCTGCTGATCCTCTGTATTTGCATCTATTCTTGGAAAAGTCATTTTTCTGAGAGGTTGTTTAGAGAGATGCTTGTTCTACATTTTCAGTTGATACTGTTGCTTTGAAGCTTACCTGATGCTTCCTAGTGTAAGGTGGTGTTCTTACTTATCACCATCCCCTAGCAATTTGGTTTCAACTTCCATGCTAGACCTCTGACTCTTTCTAGAAGAAAAAAAAAAAAAGTTAATTTTAGTGTTTTTTGGAAATGAATTTGCAAAAGCTACTTGCTTACAGTAAATTCTTGTGGGCCGTTCTTCAAAATACCCCAGCATTTTCTGCTTTGAAACAAGCACTTGGAATTTACATAAAATACAAAGACGCATTTGTAGTCCCCTGAAAACCTGTCCAAATTGGCTCAGCTGTTTATCTTTGAAAATATGTTTGCTTGTGGTCACTGCTAGATCTTAAGAGCTAACTTATCTTAAGCCTGCTCTCATTGAGGGGGTTAAGCCTCTTGCAGGTCCAGTGTGGGGCCAGAGGTGTTATTGTTTTAGGCAAATGCCTCTGATGAAGGTCAGAAGAAGGACTTTTGCATACTGGTTGCTCCCAGCTGCTTTTCGCGGTTTGGGCTGTTGCCCAGACCAAAAAGCAGGCGCTGTCTCTTCCATACATGTTGAATTACTTTAGTGACACATAAATGGAAAACTGAACTTCGTAAGGGCATGTAAGTGGACACAAACATCCAACTTCTGTGAATACAGAACAAAAACAAAGGGGGAAAGCAGTTAATGATTATGTAATAGGTGGTATGGGAATGCTCAAGGGGATCAAATTAAGATTTGGGGGACAACTCTCAGTCTTAAGTTGATTAAGTACCTATTGGAAAGCCTGGCTTTGCAATGCCAGTAATGGGATTGTGCCCTGCAGTAAAACTGCTTGGAAATTCAGTTGCCAGTGGTGGAGGATAGCTGTGATGGACTACATGAATCTATCATCTCAGTAGTTTGCAAATGAAACAATTGCCTATCCCATACATTAGGCATACTGTGATAGCTATGATCATTGCTAGTCACATTTTTTTAATTTGTTGTTGTTTTGGGGGGGGACTTTCTGGTATTTCTATTGTTTGGGTTAAACTTTGGGGAGATGGTGTCCAGGACTGTCATCCTTAGTTTACAAATACCTTAACTGGAAAAGGAAAGCTGTGCCATTATGAGCCCCAGGTGCTGGAACAGGAAGGAGCTCCACCCAAAACAAGGGTTTGAGGCTGAAGGAGGACATGTGGCTCAAAGAAAAGTCTAGAGTTTTTTGGCTAGGTAGTCCACCGGTCCTGCAGTCCCATGTTTTAGTTATTAATGCTGCTGTTCTGGTGGTACAGTCTGCTTAATAACAATTTCCTGTTTCTTAACAACTGCATAGTCTGTTGCTAGGCTGTATGTAATCTGTTTCAAAAAAAATAATAAAAAAACTTCAAGAGGAAATGGGCTTATTAAGTCCTAATTATTTATTTCCTTGCATATCCTTTTCTCTTATTATTTCTCAGGCAGCAGTTATCATTCACACACTTTCCTTAAATAATTAATCTGAATTCCAAATAGATTTTTTTTTTCCTTTTTATTATCTTATCGTGTGCCCTGGGTACTACAGTACTTTCATGTATGTCCATTCCTCAGTGTTCCCCAGAAGAAGATGCCAGACCCAGGTCAAGTGCTCTTTCCTGATCTGGAGTGCATATGTGACCTCTGAGATAGACATATAGCCCTGCTTCCCCTAATTGCTCGTGCCCTGGAGAAGAATCAATCGCTGAGCAGTCTATTCAGCCAAACTCATGCTTTTGTAAAAATAATGTAGTGAAGGATGATAGCATTTAAATTTTTATTCAAATGTATAGTACTAAAGTACTGTAGCTTATAGCACTGTAGTACCTTTATATAGTACTTTTACTTTATATAGTACTCTATATAATGCTTTATAGTACTATAGTACCTTCTAGAAGTTTCCAACAGTTTTGTGGTTTTTCTTATCCCTATATGTTTAATTACCTGTCTGCATTGTTTATGAGATTTTATTTAACCCTTTCTTAGCTTATGTCTTTTAAATACCATTGTTTTTGCTATTGATATTACTGCTCTTAATATACACTGATTTGTTTCTGGTAAGATTCCTGCAAGTATTTTGCCAGTAGACCTTGTAGGATGAACCTATTATGGGTGAATTTATTGTATCCAACACAGTGCTTCATAAATTGTCAGTCATGTGCAAGTCTTCAGTACTTTTGGGTGGAGGTGGCTCTCCCTTCCCATTTGTTTCGTCTTTTCTAGATGTTATGTGAAAGGGGAAGAATGTTTTTTTTTTTTTTTTTTTTTCTTAAAGTTCCTAGTTTGGTGGGGGGAAACTACCCAGTACACAAACTGAGGGCATTACATCTGATGGACAAATTTAGTTTCTTTAGTAAAGACACCTATTGCTATCCATCTGCTACGTGTAACGAGCTGGTTTGGGTCAAATAAACCATGGGAGAAAGTAGATAACCTAGGGAATGGTGTACGTGCCCTCTTTGTGGCAGCAGTATCTGGCTGAGTTCCTAGAAAAATGGGCAGCTCCAGCTGCTGTCTCCTCAACTGTGTTCAAAAGGAGAAGCCATGAGAAAGGCTGGATCCCTTTTTTCAGCAAGAAACTGCTTGACTATTACCAGCTTTTGGTTTTTACTGGGGAGATTAACTGTCTGACCAGCCTTCAGGAACTGATACCACGTGGAAAATTAGGTTACTTTTGTTTCTAAGCACCACAACATTATATATAAAGAGGTTAGTGTAGAAAGCTCGGAAAACTGACACAAACTTTGGAGAGTCCTAAAGGGGAAACGAGTTGCAAGTGGTTTCTATACTGACGTAGGGCATACCTATTTTTGTCACTTTTTGTTGTACCTTTTTATAACGTACTGAGAAACAAAAGAGAACCAACGCGTTAAAACCCCCCAGAATAGTGGTTCTCTGTCAGCACGCGTGCGACACCCCTCCAGCCAGCCTGACGAGGCCGGGCACGAAGCAGGCCCCGCAGCTCGGGCACGGGGGCTGCTTCCCCGCCGGCAGGAGGTGCGGAGCCGGCCCCGCTATCCGTCGGGACCAAGCCCAGGGCGGCAGCCGTGACGCGGGCAGATAAAGTCTGTCAGCCCGGGCAGGGCCGGCGAGGCGAGGCGAGGCACTGCCAGCCGGGGGGGGGGGGTGAAGAGGCTGAGGGTAGGCGGCGGCCGCCGGCAGCGGGGAGCGCGGTGCGCCCCGAGAAGCAGCCGCGGGCAGGACGCGCTGAGGGACACGCGGCCACCGCCGCCATTTTGCGGCCGCGCTCCCCCCGCGGCGCTCGGGCCGGGTGCCGGGGCGGGCCGGGGCGGGCTCCGGGGCCGGGCCAGACCCTCCCTTCCCTTCCCTCCTCTCCCTCCCTCCCCTCCTGGGCCTCGGCAGCGGCGGCCTCGGCCTTGGGGAGGCGGTCACCTTGGCAGGGGAGAAATCCTCTATACGCGCGCTCGTGCGGAGGTGCCTGCCCAAAGCTGAGTAGGTAAGCGGTCCGCTCCTGCCCCCATCCTCTGGTATTTTTCTTTCCGTATTTTTTTTTCCCCCGAAGCCAGCTGTCACAGCAGGTAGCGCTGTTATTTTTCCACCCCGCGCGTGGAAAGCGCCGTGTGCTCGGGGCTGGGGCGGCTGCTTGCCGTGGCCCTTTCTCGGTGAGGCGAGGGATGCTTCAGCCCTGCGGGGCGGCTTTCAAGAGATGCTGACAACAAAATGTGATCTGTGTGCCGAAAAATGCTCTGCTGCTTGCACCAAAAATGCGTGTGTCTGCTAATGAGCCCTCAGATGAGCCCAACTGGGAATTAAGGAAGGTGCGCTTTCCGCTTGCTTTTCTTGCCCGGTGTTTTTGCGCCGCTGGCAGCTGTGGCTTCGTTGGGATCTGTCTGAGGTTCCTCGGGACCTCCTGCACCCACACGGCCATGTCCCGCAGCAGCGTTGGGTGCCCCTGTGGGGCAGGCCTCAGCGCTTGGGGGTTTTGTGGGTGCTCACTTTCCCCTCCTGCGCCGCTCCGCTGCTGCCTCGTAACCGCAGCACGGAGAACGGGGAAGGGAAACGTGACCTGGAAAACAACAGCCGCTCAGAGATGTGCAAGGCCCTGAAATCTCTCGTGGCAGGTGTTTGGGTTGCAAGCCCGTGGTGGCATGCTTCTCAGGTTAACTGCTGCTGCGGGGTTATTCTGTACCTGCCTTCTTGGCCCAGCAAAGAGAAAAGCAAATTTTGTGGTTAACTTGCAAGAACAGGAGCTGTAGCAATCACTTCTTCCCACTTAATTTTATCATTGTAACTATCTGCAGATGCTTCCTTTTTTTTTGACTTACAGTAAAAACTCATAAAGATATGTACATTGCGTTCTTCTCTGAGATGCTGGAGCTGCCATGAAGGGTAACTTTTCCTGCCCCAGTTTAACTTTCAGCCTCTTGAATAAATTAGTGTCACACGTGAGGTGTTCCTGCATTGCATTAGGGTAGCAAATAAGGTCACAGTGTGGGATATAATTTATGAACAGTGTGCAGTCTTGCTAGTGTCACCAGAATTATCGTGAGAGTAATGATCAGCTGGAAGTTTCTCTGAGAGACCAGAGAGATGTACATTGAGGAATGAGGTATCGCCTACAATCTCTCATAGTTCAAAACAAAACAACAACAAAACTATCCGGACAAAGGAGGGGAAAAAAAAAAAAAAAAAAAAAAAACACGAAAGGGTTTTTCCTGCTGGGAAAGAAGGAGACAACTTCTCTAGTTTCGTGCTGAGAAAAGAACCTGATGTTGCTCAACTCCCAGCTGCTGGAGAACTGACTTTCTGGTCTGGTGAATTTTAACACTTTACAAATATTGACAACCTACAGGAGACATAGGCAAATATCAGTGCTCCGGTTTATTTCAAGGGAATTGTAAACTGTGCTAGTTCCTTGCTCTCCAACTGTTGTCAGTCTTCATGCTAGGCTTCCTCTCACGATGTCTGAACTGTCCTTTCTTACGGGTGCAACCTGACGGATGGGCTGCAAGCAGCTGCTCTTGACACAGTCAACAGCGGATGAGGCAGCATTGTTCTTAAAAGCTTTGTGTTTATTATTAGTTCCCAGCAATGTAGCTGTGGCAGAGCTTTTAAGGATTCAAATCTTAATCTTAAATTCTTGATATATCCTATGTGGGCAAAGCCAAGCTCTTGTCTTTGGGGCTGTGTTGTATCTGCTTATTTTAGCGTCCTTTGACTAGTTAATGTTATACATCCTGTACGAACTGATGGCTTTCTGTGTAGAATATATAAGGCTTTGGTTTTGCATCAACTCAGTAATATTGATTTCATTAAAAACTGAACTGAAGACATTTTTGCTCACATGAGAAGCTAGTTTGAGTTCAGCCCTAGGTGTGATAAGGCTGTATGCTAAATGTGTGATTAGTCATTATGTAGGCTCACTACAGTTATGTAAATGCACGTATCCTGTGGAGCAAAAGGAACCGAGAGAAATAATTTACTGATAATCAGTAAATCAAAAGCCTGTGTTTCTGGAAAATACCTGTGGCTCTGCAATAGACAGTCTGTGGTAAGCATGAATGTTCTGGGATGTGCGCATCTCTGGAGCTGAAGAGGTGATTCATGCTGAAAGCCCTCTGAGGAGTGCCAGTAACAGCTTTACCGTGGCGCAGTTTCTGTCTTTGAAACTCATGTGGTTCACCAGAAATCATGCCTGCCTGACTTTACAGGGGCCCTTGGAACAAAGTTTGAGGTGAAGATAGCCTGAAGGAAGGCTGCAGAAGTGCTTGTGGTGCTCTACAAAAGATGGTTGTAGGATGTGTGGGTGTATATCCGTGTTAGTTTTGATCTTGTGAGGAAGATAGGGGATTTAGCACGTGCTGCTGACTGCTACAACGAGAGTCAGCCTGCTGTGTATTCATTTGAGTGAGTCCTGAATTATAACGTGGGACCAATTCCATATTTTGCACTGATTTTTACAAGGAGAGATAATTTCAGTACAGAGGGAACAGAGGGTGTTTAACCAATTCTGGCGTGATCTTGGCTTAAAAGCATTTGCCTTGGTAGACTTGTCTGTGAGCGCCTGGCCTGCGCAAGCAAAAAGCTTGCATAGCTCAAACGTCTTTTCAGGAGAGAAAGAGAGGAAGAAGTTCTGGCTGCAAAAGTCTTTCACTGTACATAACTGCATGTAGACTATGGCTTTTGTGAGTAAGAATTTGGGAAAATAAGTACAGGCAGGAGAATATACTTCTGGTACAGATTAAATGTTGCTTTTTTTTTTTCTTTTTTAAAAAGCCTTGTTATTATATAAAAAGGTTATATACATATATAAAAAGTTTGTTATTGCTAAAAAAAATGCCTAAGCAGAGTAGGGGGCAGGTTGAACATGTTGCGTTGCAGAGTCTTATCTCCATGCAGTCCTGCAAGCTTTTATTTGTTGTAGGGCTGCACCAAAAAATGCTTTTTACCTTGCAGCTAATGTAGAATGTGGCTGGCTTTCAGGAATTCAGCATTGGAAATCTGTATTTGACAAAACAAAGCTTGATTCTTTTTTGGATGTTTTGCAAATCCCAACTGCTTCCTTAGATTTTCTTAGTAGGAGAAAGGGTTTGTTGTCTGCTTTATTTCTTGCAAGTTTTGCCATTGCTCTATAGGAGATAATTCTCTGAGCTTCGGGTCTAAATAAATCTAGGTGAATGTATCTTTTATTTTTATATATGTATGTTACTGTAATACAACATCTAAACAACATGGAAAGTAAGCCCTGCTTGGAATGAGAGTTATTTTCCTTGGAGGAAGAGGTAGCCAGGCTACTTGACAGATTCGGATGATGCAGCTGCTCGGTCCAGATGAATTACAACAGCATTGTGGTGTTTTTCATTAAAAGCTTTGGGCATAAACTCTCTGACTCATGACTTGTACTTATGCTACATGTGAATATGTGTATGCAGGATGCCAGGGCCTGAAATAGGGCATACAAGATCTCACCTTTGCTCTGACTTGATTTATTTGCTTATTTACCTTGCTGTTACGTGCTCTCTGCTCCTTAAGGACAGGATACAAGGAGGCTGGGGAGGCTCTTAAACCAGCCATTGATGTGCACAGATCTAACCACACTGCTGTACAAAGCCCTCCTTTGGGAACTGGGAATCTCAGCTTTGCCACTGATATGTTTGATTTATGATAAATCGGTCTGCCTTGGCCTTATTTTTTGTCTCTACAAAATGGGAGAAGCTATCTGGACTTGCTTTCCAGAGTACTCTAGGATTTAGTCACGTCAAAAATTAATATGTAGGGTTAGCATTGATGTGCGGCATTAGACCATCGACCACTGTGTCCATGAGAATCCCTTGCTAACTGGGAAGTGTACTTCGTTAGCACATGATACTGGGAAACTGGGGGAGGTCAAAGTTGCAGGAAGCAAGGTGCAACATTGGAGTGTGATAAGATGACTTGTTTTCTGTATGCTTTTCTTGAAGGTAGGGAGCACCTTGCCAAACACTTGTGTGCAGGGGTGGAGAAGCTACAGTCCTGGTCAAATTTCTCTTCCTTGCCAAGCATGCAGTTCTTATAAGGGCTATTCCTCCTCTGTCTGTTACAAGGAAGAACAGGAATGGTAAGAAATCTGTGAACTGGCTGTCCGGAGTGTTAGGAGGTGATGTATAACCACTTTCCAGAGTAGGTGACAAGGTTCTCATCAATAGGGTGTGTCTTCCATTGATGCAAGCCCAATTACATTAGTGTGGAGGCTTGGAGTAAATTCGACAACTCCTTGCGTCCATCTAACTGCTCTGGACATCACAGCCTGGGAGATGAGAGGTAGTTTTATGCTGGAGATGGGGCTCTGGACAACCTGATCTAGTGGGTGGTGTCCCTGCCCATGGCAGGGGGTTGGAACTGGGTGATCCTTGAGGTCGCTTCCAACCCGAGCCATTCTGTGACTCATTCTATGATCCCATGGTCTCATGCTCAAGTACTGACTTCTTGTGGCTGAGAAAAGATGAAAGTTAGGTTTCTGTGCCAGTCATAGTTTGAAGGCATTGCTGTAGCCTGACGTGCACAGACAGCGTGCTAAAATGGAACTTGGAATTGGGTGTATGGAAGCAAATAAGTGAATAATCTTGGTCTTATGACCAGCCCTGTTAATTTGAGGTAATACGTGGGCTGCAGTGTCCATGTTCCTGAAATTATCCCAAATCCTGTATGCTGATGAAGAAAGACTCTCAGAGAGTGTTCTTGCTCAGAGCAGTTAGTGCAGTAAATCTTCAGTAACGGTGTATGTTCAGCCTGACAGAACTGTTGAAGAGAAGTGACCAGGTTTCATGTACAGAAGTACGTGAGGGATGTGATGCCAGTGGTCCCCAGCAGTACTGTGGGTGTAAAGTGTATAAGATGTGTAACTGCCAAGGTTTTGGAAAGCTACCTTGAAAAATTAAAGTTGGCAAGCCAGCCTAAACCAAGTTTGGAATATTAATGTCTTTTAAGCTGGAAAAAAAATCTGGAAATAAGATTTTAAAACTCACTTGAACTACCACTAGGACGCAGTTGTAGCAGAAGGCAGCATGGCATTGGACAGGCTCGCTGCCTTCTGAAAGGACTGGCTCTGTTTTAGGCCTAGTCTGTGCTACATTTCAGACAGAAGGTGATACTGATTTCCCAGTATATCGGCTTCCAAACAAGCTCTGAGCAGACCCACCTCTCACAACATCCAGACACTCAGCTGGCAAACATAGCAGGGCAGAAGTCACTCTTGCAGGTGGCGTGCTGTTGGAGCAGTAAATGCTGTTCCTTTATGGGTATCAAAACCAAAAGGGATTCTAATATTGGGTAGAAATAAGGAAACAGGCAGTTTTACTCAGTCTTTTGATGACCTGCTTTTAAACATCAGCATCTGCATGCAGAAAAAGCACAAAATCTATTGAAATACAATGTCATGTTCTTGGCTGATCAGTGGGAAAAGAGCTCTTGTTGTTCCACGATGGAGTGAGGGCATGCAGTTTAGAATGGGAAGGAACATGGAAACAAGTTGTTGTTTGGGGGGGTTTGTTGTTGTGGCTTTGTTTGGATGTCTGTACAAGGATGTGTACAAAGGAAGAACTGCTACTGATGGACTAAAAATTTTCCATGTGACAGCATTATATATCAATGTGAGTCCAGTAAGTCTGCATGTGCCCTGAAGCAGAGGGTTTTCTAACTGTTCTCCGTCACCTCTAACAAAATAGATAGCCCACAGTAACTGAGGGAGCATCCCTTTGGGAACGTAGGAAAACTGTTTCAGGCTCATTGGACTCTAATTGACAGCAGGACATTCACAAAAGAAATCCTGGAGACAGGCTGAAATGGTAGTTTTAACAAAAGAAGATGGATCTAGATTAGAGAGCAAGAGATCTGAGTCATCTGTTTATAACTGAATAAGGGCTTATGAAAGTACAGAGGCAGGGGGTGCAGGGAGACAAAAGAGGAACAAGGAAGGAGCCTTATCAGCACCCACAGAAATTTTGAGGGATCCTCCCATGTAAATGCCATAGGATCAAGTAGAGATGGGAGGAGAATTAGGAGGAGCTCTAATTACAAAAGATAAAGGAAGGGCAAGATCAAGAAGAAGGTGGTTATGATGTATGGTGCTCACAAAGGATGAGGTTGGAACACCAATACTGAAAGGTTAAGAAGACTTTTGGCCTCTGAGGATTTTGGTAAGAGATGTTTCAGGGACAGAATTTGGGTTAAACAGGATGTAAAGGTGGAGGTAAAGGAGGGTTCCTGACCATGCTTGAAGCTGTGCATATGGAAGCAAAGATGAAATAGCAGTAGCTGAAGGGAGAGCAAGGGTAGGACTTCAATGTTGGAAGTTTAAAGTGTACTTTTATTGCAGAGGAAAAAGAACCAAGTAAGACATGGCATAGGAAGGACCTGAGATAAGATGTCATGGGGCAAACAAAGGGAGTTAGATAAGAAAATTAACAATTTGATAGTTGAAAGCAAAGAGAATGTGAGGACCGTACCTGGGAATTGATAGTGAGTTGAGGAGGTAAGTAGGATTGTAAGATGGTAATGAGTGTTTACAGAGTCTTACGCTTTCCCAATTGAGAGGTAGTGGTAGTCCAGGAAAATAAGGAATATACTCTGAGAATTTAACAATTACTGTTTTCTGACTGGAAGGGGCTAAAGGGCAATAATTTATCCTCAATGATGTTTAGATCCTTTTATTTTTTTTTTCCTTTTTGGATTCCCAAGCTACAATTACTGTTTCAGTATTTAGCCTCTACCACTTGTCTTGTTGGGATGTGTGAACTTGAGAGAAGAATGTGTGAGTACAGAATGGTATTTCAGTTTTTCACTTTCTCAGATTTGTTTCTCAATACCTACTTATTACTCTTCTCACCGTTTATACTTACAAGTGCATTAAAAATAAACTCTTCTGTCAGCAAGCCAGATACGATAAACGTTTACAAGCACGGTTTCAGAAGTTAATGAATATTTTTGTTTGTTTTGCAGATGAGATCACTGCATGCTCCTTTTTTTGGAAGAGGTGGTCAGAGGAAATGGATAGCTATTCAGACTTCAGTGCTGAGAACCTCTCATCTTCAGCTAATATGTCTATTGCTTTGCCTGGACAAGTTGGACTCAATACCACCAGCGGTCCTCCTTCTATGTCAATAAGCAGGCTTTTCCCAGCCCTGTTAGAATGTTTTGGAATAATTCTTTGTGGCTACATAGCTGGAAGAGCCAACATTATCACGTCAACTCAGGCCAAAGGATTGGGAAACTTTGTCTCACGTTTTGCACTCCCAGCACTACTGTTCAAAAACATGGTGGTACTTAACTTTTCTAATGTGAATTGGTCTTTCCTGTACAGTATCTTAGTTGCCAAAGCTGCTGTGTTTTTCTTAGTCTGCGTTTTAACCTTGTTGGTAGCCAGTCCTGAGAATCGATTTAGCAAAGCAGGTTTGTTTCCTATTTTTGCTACACAAAGCAATGACTTTGCACTGGGATACCCAATAGGTAAGTAGTTCCTTATGCTTTCCTCTTCAAAATTATTTTTCAGTGCTCTAGATGCTTTTGCTTTTCTTTTGCATTATTTGAAATTGACTGAAGTTATGAGCTGCCTTAACAATTTCTTGTTACATTTCTTGAGGAAACTAATTTTTAAAAAATCCTCAGACGGCATGCTTTTCAGTAAGAGAGGAAAAGAAAAGCAAACTGTTGGATGGTATGAATGAAACAATTTTAAACAATCTATCTTCTGTTGTATAGGACTGTGATCTTTATCAATAAAAAAAAAAATAAATGGAGCCTGTATCTGTGGCCTCTGAAATAGTTATAGGGGGACTTTGTGCGAATTTGTCATTAACTCTTGGTCTACCTCAAAGAAAACATTTAGCCATAATGTTGATGCCTACTGGTTAAGGTGTGTGTAAGACGCACTTTTAACATGCTTAGACTCTAGAAAAAAACTTAGAACAAGCTAATTTTTGTGTTAATCTACGTAGCCAGTCATGTTCCATCCCTTAATCTTTGTTCTGTCACAACCAGTAAATGTGCCTTAGGATAGTTTTGGAAGAAGGAAGTCTTTTAAAAGGAAGATTATTGTGGTAATCTGCATTTGTGTTATCTCAAATTGGAATTTTATGTGGCTGTGATGCCTTTCTCAGTATGTGCAATTAACCACCCCTCCAGTGGAGTTAAACAAAAAACAATAAAGGAAAAAACAAGAGAAGGCATTCAGAGTACAATTTGCATAGCTGTGTCTTCTTGTTCTTGTAAGCCTATATTTCTAATTCCAGACAATATCAGTTACTAAACTTGATTTTTATCCCAATCTGCAAGACTATTATTTTCTTCCCTTTGGGTATTTATTTATTTCCCCTTTTTATAGATTTCCTTAAGCATATGTTGATATATTTTTTAGTTATATGTACTATGATATTTAACAAGGGATCTGGAGTTGTACTTTTTACTTTGGGAGATTCTTTGTTCCAGCGCAGCTTTCAGTGCTGCCTCTCCCCAGGCTGACCTGTATGGCCAGTGCAGAAAGAACAGTGCAAGTATCAGAGAGTTTCAAAATACACCTTGAGTGGGTAGCATTTGGAGAGGATGGTTGGATTCAGTTGTATTTGTTTGCTGTTCCTTGAGGAGAAGGTACTTGTGCCTCTCAAATTCTCTTGAGATCACTGTTACCGTCCAGATAATGTTAAGAACAAAAAAAAAAAAATAAAATTAAGTTTGTTCTAGCAAATGAAAGAGCAAGATAATTGCTTACAGAATTGAAAATACAGTTACAAAAGAAAAGCTTAAGCATTCAACTCCAGATTACATGTAGCGACAAGTAGCTCCATATTTTAGATAACTTGAGGAGCTGGCAGTTTTATTCACCCTATTCCAGGCCAGCATGCTCCAGAGAATCTTGGATCTTTATTCTCTTCAGATTTGCTGGATGTATATAAAATATAGACAAATGCAATTGCAAACTTTTTCTTCCCTAGATGAATATACCATTTCCCTCAGTTACGTCTCCTGAGAGTTATTCCTCTTGAGGGAAATCGGAAGTATATCACAAATACGGCTGTGAGAATTACCTCTTTGTTTCTTGGTGCTGGATTAAAATGCCAGTTAGGATTTCTTTTTCTTCTCTTTTAAGGTTCTCTGAATATGTTTGCCTTGCATCTTTCTACTCAAAACATTCCTTCTATGTTGAATGACTTTCTTGTTGGATTACATTTTTCTCCAAATATCCACAACATATAAGATACGATTCATGTTTCCTCTATACACAGTCTAGCCAAATTCACAACATCTAGTTTATAAAGGGTTTAATGGCATACCTACCACAACAGAAACTGTAGGCTTTGTTTCTTAGAGCTGTTTATTTCCTTTCTTGCCCTTTCACTTCTCTTCTCCAACCCCCAGACTTTTACCAGTTTTTGATTCATGCTGTGTTGTGTGCAAGCTGTTCATGTTAGTGGCTTCTCTGGAGTGTTTGCAGGGCTGGATAACACAGAGTGCCTTGCTTAGTTCTTTTTACTTGTGGTAATAGGTGGTGGTTTGAGCAAAACTTGATCTTCTAATGGAAATATATTTTTTAATGCTGCCTTTAAAAGGTTCAGTTGAAATTTGTAAGCAAAAAAGTTAGTATTGACAATTCTTTATATTACAATATTTTAAAAGGCAGTTTATTTAAAAAATAATGTCTGGAGTTTTCATCCAATGTGATACTTCTTTTCTGCAGTAACCAGTATGCTAATTTTTGCCATTGAGCAAAGATTTGCACATATGAAAATAACTACCTGTATAGGGAAATTAAAATACAGGTTATATTTTCAAAGCTCGCTGGCCTGTTTTTCTCTAATCACTGTTACAACAGTTCTATGTTGCAAGGTGATGCTGGTAAGGAGGTTTGCTAGCAAGGTAATTTACCAAGGTAAATTGAATTGCTATGATAGAAAGCTTCGCCTGGTTGGTTTGTATTACTGGGAGAGATGATGCAGCTCTGACAGAACAGCTTCATATACTCTCAGAAGTATAAGAGCAGAACTATTATTTTTAAAATCTGCCTTATATTCACAACTCCTGCTTTAATACTTCCAAGAATCACTTTGCCTTTATGCAGTTACTACTTTGTGAACCTTAAAAGTAGTAGCAGATATTTGGAAGAATCTTGTTCATAGAAAAGACTGATCTAAAAGTGAACATAAGCAACTAGATTTTGTATTTTGCATCATTGCTACAGATCAAAATTTGGTGGAGATGTTGAAATGTTCAAAAATATTGTGTCCTGCGAATGCATATGTAGTGCTCCACAATTCTCATATGTTTCTAGGGAGAAAAAGCAATTCAGAAAAGAAAAAAAAAATCAACGTTCAGCATTTGGTATTAATCAAAAGGTGCATGGAATTGCTTATGTTGTTTTTTTTTGTTTGTTTGTTTTTTCTCCTGTAAGTGTTACATCATTAAGTAGTATTGGTTAAGTTAATGTTAGGACTTTAATGTCTTCATTACATGACTGTGGCCTAATGGTGATCGGACCTAGTGTGTCACCTTGTATCGGTTGTGAATACTGATGCCTCTGAAGGATAACAAACTAATTTTCTCTAATTTTCAGGGATCAAAAAACAATTTCAATATGAATGTATTTTTGTTCTGAAAAGTTATCACTCATCACTTTTCATTTTCTGTCTTCTAGTTGAAGCTTTATATCAAACCACTTACCCAGAGTATCTCCAGTACATTTACCTAGTGGCTCCAATATCTCTTATGATGCTAAACCCTCTGGGGTTTATCTTTTGTGAAATCCAGAAGTGGAGGGATAATCGCACTGTGGCCCACAGCAAGTTCAAAATAGTGGGCCTAGCACTCCTTCGAGTTCTGCAGAACCCAATTGTATTCATGGTCTTCATAGGAATCATCTCAAACTTTATTCTCGGCCAGAAAATTCCCGAATACCTTGAAAATTTCCTTGACGGACTGGGCAGTTCATTTTCTGGCTCTGCACTATTTTACCTTGGACTAACCATGGTGGGACAAACAAAAAAACTGACAAAGGGTATGTTTGTTGCACTGATCCTTCTCATCACAGCTAAACTGTAAGTTCAATTTATGTACTTTTATAATTTTGTTCTATAAAGTTTTTCTAGGTGTTTTAAACTCTGAATATACAGCCCATATGGCTTTTCTCTCAAAATCATTGTAGCGATAGTGTCTTTAACTTCCTGTATTTTGTATGAGTACTTCCCAAACTCTCTAAGAGTACACAACTTCTAATTTTCAAAAGAAACTTTGCAGACCACATGCCTGTTGTCAGGCTCTGCAGAGAAAATAATTTCAAGGGTGCTATAGCTTCCTGGACTGCCCTCAGGCCATCTGTCATGAATTGTGTGTTTGAGGAATTACTTTCTTAAGTTAAAATTCACTAGCTTGAATAGTTAAAGAAGACTAAGTTTAAGCACTACTTGATTAGTTTTTGCATCTTCTTTGGATTAAACAAATCTCTAAATTAGTTGGTTTTTTTTGTTTGCTGTGTCTATAAATCTTTCAGACTGCTGTTTTGGGTAGAGCTTAGAAGTTATTATTCTACACTGATAAACTGACTTTTGAACATAAAAAATTACAATTTTTATTTAGAACTTATGCTGTCATTATTTTCCCTTAACTATATCTCAGGTACTGGTGAGCCAAGTATTTGCTACAGAGCTACAATCAGCATAACCAAAATCTTATTTGGTGATTATGCTTAGAATAGAAAATTTGAAAACCTATTAGAGTATCAGTACAACTAACTAGCAAGCTTAAAGACCTAGTTTGTAAACCAGCTCAATGATAAATTCTGTAAGAAGATGGGAAAAATAAGTGATTGTGCACCACCCTGCTTTACTGGTGGACTTATGGAAGCCTGTGCAAGACTTACATAGCGAGTCAGTGTGACATCAGGGATATTGCTAAAGGCAATCAGAGAAGCATCAATGTTTGTGCGTTTGTTTTTTTAATTACTGGGCAAAGCTTTCAGCTTGCGTCCTTGTTCCGTGTCAGACAGTTTACATAAAGGTGCTCTAATATTCAAAGTTGCTTACTGGTTATAGCAGCTTTTACAGTTGAAAATAGTTTTGTTTATATATTCTACCTTTTCAAATCTGAGGTTATACAAAGAATGTTTCTGCATAGTCAGAAAATGTGTTTGGATCTCAGACATTAGTGTCTTTTTAAACATTTTTGTGTATTTTTTTTAATTTAACTTGTGATTCAAAATTTTGAAGCAGCCTGTAAATGTTGTGGTTCTATTCAGTCTTTTCTGAATAGACTCTATTGCTCTGTCTTGAATTACTTCTATTCTGTTTTTTTTCCCTCCCTCTCTTTTCAGACTTCTGATGCCATTTCTTTGTAGAGAAATGGTAGAACTCCTGGACAAGAGTGACAGCGTAGTCAACCACACCAGTTTATCAAACTATGCATTTCTTTATGGAGTTTTTCCAGCAGCACCTGGTGTCGCAATATTTGCAGCTCAATTTAATATGGAAGTGGGAATTGTATGTAGTCTTTTTTCTTCCCAAACTTGTCATATGGGCTTATTTTTGTTGATGAAATACTTATAATAAACAGGCTAGCTGAAATTACTTTTCTGTAGACTCCCCAGATTTCAAGTTTGAACTGTATTGCAAATTTAATAGTTAACCAATGCACTCTTTCCCGGTATCTCAAGTTTCTTGATGGCACAGAGTCTGAAATTTGTCCTCATACTTTTCCTATTTATGAAAATAGTAGGAAGAACTAGGATAACTTCAAAGATACAAGTTCTTTATATTTATTTTGTTTTATTTTTCAAATACCTTATCTTTGTTCTACTGTTTTTGTAGGAAAAACTGGAATGTTGTTACTGATTTCAGTGAGAACAGTGTTAGGTTCATGCTGAAAACTTGTGGAAGAGCTTGAAGAGCTTGTGCTTTAACTGATTCTCCTGTGTTGTCCTTCAGTTAAATCTTGTGGTAGAAATGCATTTTAAGTAGAAGGTATTATTAACCTTTTCAATTTAAGATTTAAACATTAAGTTCCCCAGCTCCCCCCAACACACACACTTCCAGCCTCCCATCCTCTCCCCAAACTTGAAGACACTGGAAGTCCAGCATTACAAGATAGAATTTTGTGCCCAACAAACTCAGGATATTTGTTTAAAAGAAAAATCTGAAGCATGAGTAGAAACTTGTACTTCCATCACTGCAAATTCTAATAAGTGGAAAAACAATGCAAAGCTAAGATAGAAATTATTTAAATTTAAATATATATTGATACTTCTCATTAATTCATACATATTAGTGTTTACATAACTACATGTTTGCATATTTATTTACAGTGTGAATCTTTACATCCAAAAGTGTATTGTGTCATTGTGAATCCACCACTAGGTTGGAGACATTACTATCCTTGACACCTATGAAAAAGCTCTGTAAGAATTCACAGTGGGGAAGTCAAGTATTCCTACTACTTCAAAAACTTGTTGAAAGATTCTTTTTAACTGTATGTATAAAATGGATACTTCCTGGTTTAAATTCTAATTAATTTGTCACAGAAACAACTCAATGGTTTGTTTAAAGCTCTATGTTTAAGCCAGAGGTACAATATTGCTATTGGTGTATTCATAAAAACAGGCTATTTAACTTGATCTGCTTAACTGTTCATGTTCTGTTTGATTCCTTTTGCAGATTACCTCAGGCATGGTGATAAGCACGTTTGTGTCTGCACCTATCATGTATGTTTCTGCATGGCTGTTGACCATTCCATCTATGGATCCCAACCCACTGGCATCTGCACTCCAAAATGTTAGCTTTGACATCAGTATTGTCAGCCTCGTTTCTCTGGTAGGTGTTGGTAAAGTCAACTACAAAAACACTGTAATGTCAGGGTAGCTTTAGTACATAAGCAGCAAATCAAATCATGATCAGTTGAGACTGACATTTTGTCCTCAGAAGGATGAGGGAGGAATTAAGTTTAAAAACACAATCTTCTTAATTTAGTAATGGTTCAGCTGGAAAGCTGCACAGTGCGGGAAAAAATGGGTAAGTGAATTACAGCACTGCTGCAGGGCTTGAAAGTTTGGGATCTGTCCACCTGATATGTATGGTGCATGTGTGGACAAGCTATCAAGCTGCTCATCTTTAGTTCCTTTTTTAAATGATGGAGTGGGGTGGAAATAACAGTACTTGTTTACCTCATGGGGAATAATTACATCAAATCACAGTTTAATCACAATATTTAATTTAACCTTATCCAATGCCTATTGGATCCAGAATTCCTAGCAGTTCTAGGTGTCTAGCCCTTTTAAAGGGTGTTGATATCTCAGAAGCTCAATGTGAATTGTATTTTGGCTTCACAAGTGTTATAGATATGTGCTTAGGTTTTCTTACTTTTATTTAAAAGTTTCCATATTGGAGAGAGCTGAAAGTTCCTTAAGCTGGTATCTCACTGAAGCAGTCATATCATAAAACTGTGCCTCAAGAGAAGCAATATATTGTCTCTTGCCGTCACAAGTCATGCTGGGAGATTCAGAAGGGACAGGGTGAAGAGACTCTTAAATTCCACATTGCCAGGCTGTTCTAAGGTCATTTATGTCCTGGGGAACATCCAGGCTTCTTCACACTGCAGGCAAACCCTTGGTTCTTCCTGGAAATATTTCACAGTCTTGATTGAGAGGCATCAATGCATTGATTTTTCTGGCCCTGTTTTCTGAGGCACAGGGATTGGCAGCAGATGGTATGGAGCTGACCATGTTAGTCATGTTGCTGAGAAACTTGTCAAGAAAATTTGTTGTATGTATAATTTCACTGTAGTTTGCCACAATGTTCATCTTGCATGTTTGTTTGTTTTGTGTTAGTCTTAAATTCAACTTTATCTTGTCTGTTCCAGATTTGGTCTCTCATTGTTGTTCTTCTGAGTAAGAAATACAAACAGCTTCCTCATATGATTACAACAAATCTACTGGTTGCTCAGGTCAGTAGTAGGAAGATTTTATTTTACATCTTGTTTTTAACATTTTTGCAAATTTGGCTTCTACCATGATATCTTTGTAAGGTGAGCAGAGGAATTTAATTCGTGATTTGTTTGAATAATTTCTGTGACTTAGAACACACCCTTGAAGAAAATGACAGAATGACCCTTTGTGCTGGTAGTACAGCTCTCAAAGAGCAGCATCTCAAACAGAGCTGTAAGCAATCAGAATGGCAAATGGCTTCTGCAGTATATTTTTAGCTTTGTAAGTTACTGCCAAATAGCATTGAGTGCACTTCCAAGTCAGTTTATGCCAATTTGCAATGCCATGATCAGCAGCAGTGTGCGTCTGACTCTGTGGTGATCTGATTCAATGAGTTAAATAGGAAACTAATCCAAATGCTGGTGTAGCTCCCTGAAGTGACTCACAGAGGGATAAGACAGGTGCCAGTGGGACCTGTCAGACACGGGGAAGGGGTGTGGGAATACATGGCTGGTGGCTAGGGAATGGCAAAGTCTAATAGCTCTGACTTGGCATAATTTTATTTGTTATTTAAGCTGAGAGAAAACTATAGAATACGTGTTCTTTTTTTCCTTGAAGCCAACTGTACAACTATTAAATTCAGTGAGTGTAATACATCAGTGCAGTAGATGTTGTCTGGTGTTCTGTAGTTTTTTTAAAAAAAAAAGTAAACAGGTTACATTGTAGTCACGTTTGGGAAAGAAAGTAGTGCATGAGAGTTGCAGATGCTTCTTGTCTATAACAGCATGAAGTTAGCTTTAATTTAAAAATAGCTTGAACCCTTGTATTACTATTTCCATGTTATTTTTTTGGCCTATTTTTTGAGATTCTTTCAGTACTAACTCTCATATGATGATGAAAACTTGTATAATTCTTGGCTGAACAAATATCTGTTGTTTTTAGCTTAATTTCTGAATCATTTAAGATAAATGATTTGTACTTAGTTAAGATGCAAAGTTTTTGTTATTAAAAGATATATAAAGATTGTTATTTTTTTCCTAACTTGTCTTACTCCCAGCTTATTGAGATATATAATTGCTGTCAAAAATAATAAATAAGAGAGAAAGAAGGAGGTTTACCCTAGACGTTGACATAACTGTAATACTGAGCTTACTGCTGCATTACTTTACTGCTATGATAACCATCTAATTCATAAAATGACACTGCAGTTGATCTGGGGGTGGAGTCTGGAAGCTTATTGTAGTTATACTACACTGTGTTCAATTTTCTTCTGTCATCCTGCTTTTGAAATCCAAATAATGGCATCTTCCCTTTCTTTTCAGTTTATTGCTTGCATTGGAATGGTGATATGGAATTTCATTGTTAAAGAGAAAGACATCACATTGCAGATCCTAGTATTTATATTTCTCTACAGCTCACTTTATAGCACCTACCTGTGGACAGGTACGATTTTTCTAGGCAGAACTAGGTAATGTAATAAAAGATTGATGTACTGAAATAATTTGATTATATTCTTCAGAGTAATTATTCCTTTCACTTGTGTGTAATTCTACAAATTACTTGTAAGCTGTGCCAGGTTGAAGCTCTAGCAATGCAGGGCAGCAGACTTGCTGGATTGAGGTGGGAAAGGGGAGAGGGTAACACAAAAAAATCATCCCAGGTCTCAAGGCAGAAGCAATTACAAATAGAGTGAATGGTGATGGGTTGCCCTTCAACTGGTCAAAAGCTTACTGTCAATTTTTAAGTAATGCAGAGTTTAAGATTTTAAATTATTCAGCATTAAGGAGATTGTAAAAACCTTATGCTTGAAAAAACAAAACAAAACACAAAAACAACAACAAAAGAAGGGACTTTAACATTTCTTTCCTCTGTCAATTGCAATTCCTAAAAACAATGTGTGTTCTGCATGTGTAGATAATTAATGAAGGGATTATTTGAAGTAGGCAGAGTAGAAAGATGCATCAGGGAACTTGGAGAACCATACAGGTGTGATTAAAACAGACTTCAGATGTTTAAGAGACTTTGTGTACCATTCATGAGTCCAGAAGTTTAAAGGTTTAATACCTGTGGTGTTTTCATGGAGTAAGTTCTGTTTACGTTTAGCTGAGATAGGTAGCTAATGATTAGTATAGCCTAACATAAATACTAGTTTTACTTCAACAAGGAGAGTATTGCTGAGCTTCTGAGTTCTAAATAGAATAGACAGTCCCAGAAGATATTCCCATATATAGCTATTTACGTGAAAACATAAGAAACTTTTTGGTGAAATTTATCAGTGACTTTATAAAGGACTAATCTGCTTTAACCTTAATAAATTAGTTAAGCATTGTATTATAAGTAAGTACTGTGTCTTAAATATTCTTATGGCACCTTTTAAGTACCTGCAAAAAAATGCTTTCTAAGCATTTTTACCTGGAAACAATAAAAAGTGTGGCAGAATTTCTTCAAGTTTTGTTACTCGTGGCTTTTTTAAAAGATGGTAGGTATTTCTATTTTACTTCCTCAAAATGCAACTAGAAAAAATACAATTTTGGAATATTTGAAGTTCTGAGAGAAACGTTTTGGTTACTGAACAGGTCACATCTTAGAGTGTCTAGTTTCTGTAATTTTCAGTTCCCTTTTTAAGAATAAACAAGGCGTTTCTTTTGTTCTTTGTAGGTTTTCTATCTTTCTCTTTGTTTCTGTTGAGGAAGAGAGAAACAGTAAAGATTCCCATTGGGTTTATTATCATAGCTGGATGGGGGTAAGTTAGTACAGATGTTTCCCTGTAAGATTAGTGGGAGCATGCTAAATACATTACTTTGTTTGCATTTTGCTCTTTCAGAATCCCAACACTTCTGGTGGGAATCTTGTTAATAGTTGGTGAACATAACAGCACTAGCATTGACTCTGCCTTTTTCTATGGAAAACAGCAGGTATGAATATGTTCTGTCCTAATCTCTCCTGATTTCTGACACATCCAATACATTATTGAGAAATTGCATTCTCTGCTTGCTTCTTATATAAGTAGCTTTCAGTCGAAGTGCAGGGTGCCATAACAATATCACTATAGAATGCTTGCAGATCAGTATAAAAATGTATTTCTGTAATGAAACAGTAGAACAACTTGTTTGAGCAATGACCTTCAAGTTTAGGCAGCTATGACTAAGAAAAAGGGAGTAATCTTCCAAAAGAAAAGACATAGGAGTGACAGTTAATGAATTGCAAAGTCCTTTTCCTGGTGACTAATTTGTAGTCCAGCTTCATAATTATCTAAAATTGTCACCATCCAATAGTTAATTAATGTTTTTTAGCCTGTAGTAGATTGGATCTGTATTACACGTGTAGCAGCAACTGCTTGCACTATGCAAGAATTCTCTGCACAATCAGTAGATGAAAGTTCTTGAGCCTAAACTACTGTTTTTACCAATTAATAGTTCACCTTCACCAGATGATATGAAGTGCATTAGGGTAGATAGTTGTCTTGTTTTCCCTCTGCCTTCCTTATGGATAGGGAGGCTATGAGTTGCTCAAGATTATTCATGTGGTGTTTTCACAAGTAGCAAAGTAGCTTCACAGTGGACTCTGGGTATTGGTGGCAGATGATTAGAAGGAAAAGTTAATTAATGGGATGGTCCCCACTGGAGAAAGCATGGAAATTAGAGTTGTGCTGGAGGGTGACAAGAGTACATTCCTGTTTGGAATTAAAAGGTACCCAAACAGAACTTAAAATGAAACACTAATGACCCTGAGGAGAAAGAAGATAATGATGAGAGGACATGTTTGGATTGCATGAGAAATAGGAGTCCCCATTAAAAACAAGAGAGGAGGAAAAAAAGAAAGGGGGAGAGCAGGAGGAGCAGCTGGGTTATTCATGAGAGGAAAATTAGTTTCATGTACTGAATATTCCTTTAATGCTAGAAGATGTAAGAGCAGTAAATATAGAAAACTGTACCTTTTCAGATGCCTTTCTTAATATATTTAGGAAGCTGTAGAGTTATATTTGCAACTATTTTCCTTTATTTTGTATGTAGGTGTATTTTCATTTCTCTCTTAACAGATAATTACCACAGCAGTGATTTTGTTCATCAGTATATTGATGTCAGGCATCTCACTTATGTGCATGAACAGAAATAGACAAGAGTCAAACTATGAGGTACTGAACCCATACTCACCTCGTAGCCAAGCAGAGGAGGTTGAGGTGGAAGGGAATGCGGGGAATCAAGTTTCAGCCACTGTGCCTCAACCTTCTGCAGGGTCTTCTGCTCAACCTTCTGTGGCATCTTCTGCACAGCCATCTCCAGAAAGAGGTACAGAAACAAGATCTGTAATAAATGAATAAATGGCTTGGCATACAAAGATAAATAAATAAAATACTGTTCCAGATTTAATTCTGACCTGGGAAGGATTGTTGTTAACTTCAGATTAGGGTGGAAGAAGATCTAGATATAGCTTTCCAAGGACTCTGGTTTATATTTCTGAGAAAGGTTTGATTATTATCAGTGTAGAGGTGGGGGGAAGTGGACAGGAGGGAAAAAAAAAAAAAAAAAAAAAAAAAAGGTGTGTGTGTTTTTGTTTTTTGTTTTTTTGTAAGTAATGTTGTCTTGATAAGCATGTGATAAATGCAGTCCAGTGGCTGTCTCAGGACATTAGCCCTTTAAACTGTCTCTTTGAAAATAAATTATATGCCTACAGCATTGCTACTCCTTGTTCATGTTTAGTTTTCTTAGTCACTTCCCTTATGTTTCCCTTCTAGCTAAAATACTTGTGTTGCTTCCATGGTGATAGTGCTGTGCTAAATATTTCTATAGATTTGTAGTGTAACACGCATACCCTCTTAGCAAATTGGAAGAATTGCCCACTTTCCCCTTTCAGGTTATTTGTGAGTTGCATAGTGTATACATTGTTATACTAGGAAAAAAAATATGGTGGTGAAAGAAACTATCCTGTTACTTCATAGGTTGCTGTTCTTGTCAGACAACAAATGGGGAATTACCCTGTGCTAACGAGAGTAAAGCAGTGCCAAATGCTGTTGAAAGGAAGGTTCCTTCCATTGAAACAGGTAAACCAGTAGTGTATCCTTGTTTTACTATTACGAACTGGAACAGGTTGCCCAGAGAAGTTGTGAATGCCCCAGGAATGGGGCTTTGAGCAACCTGGTCTAGTGAGAGGTGTCCCAGCCCGTGGCAGGGGGGTTGGAAATATATGACCTTTAAGGTCCCTTCCAATCCAAACCATTCTGTGATTGATACACTTCCACAACATTTGCGTGTGTTGCACTCACAGTGAAACTATCTGTTCTCTCAACTGTTGTTAAGAACTGCAGTTCTCTCATCTCTACCTAGTTAACTTATATTTCATATTAAATTCAAGTGTTAGTATGTTTGTTGTGATGTTTGTTCTATTCTTTTTGATATTCATTGGGAATCTTTCATTGTTCAAGATGAACAGTTTTGTATGCGTTTGGTTGGTTTTTATTTTTTTGGGGGGGGAGGGTGATAGTTTAGTTTTTGATGTGTTGTTGTTTTTAAACTTCTGTGCTACTTCAGTCCTACTTTGCCTCAATTTTAGCAGTTTTTGATTTAAGCGTGCTTTCTACATACTCATATTCACATCTCATTCCCCCCCCCAGAAACGTACATTAAATTATTTATTATAATCATGCTCAGGTTTTCAATAAGAAACCTGAGATTTAGAGAAGCAAATACTACAGACTAGATCAAATGTCCATGCTGCTGCATTATCCATGTCTAGGGGAGAGATGTGGAGAAAATTGATGAAGGGGGCCTTAGGAATCACTGAAATAGAAAAGTGAATCAAAGTTGTATGTTCAGCACCTGCTGGAAAATTGCATGCTCAGCCTGTTCTCATCATACATCACTTTCAACAATGAAAGTTGTCTGCAGGGCAACCTTTCCTTTTTTTTTTTCCTTATTTTTTTTCCATCCTTAACAAGAGAGTTCTTATCCGTATGGGTTTTTTTTTTTTTTGTTTTGTTTTTTTTTTGCATGCTGCATAACCTTCAAAAAATCTAAATATTTCATGCTGAAACATAGTTGGCTTTATCTCCTTTCATAATATGTAGCTTTCTAAATATTGCCAGCTATTATTCTGTGATGTAATTCAGACAAGCACCATAAGAATGTCTTCCAGTGATATGGAAAGCAAGTATAATTTTCTTATCCTGAAGGGTAAGAAATCATATCTTATAATTGAGTGGGATTTTCTTCTGCCTACTGAGTGAGCACTTCAAAACTGTAAATCACTAAAAGCAAATCGTAATGGATACACTTGTGTAACTTGCTGCAATAATTACTAATCCTTCTGCTATCCCATTGAATGAACTATGGCAGGTTATCTGGCCCAAATTCTTAGTTATGTCCTTGCCAGGAGGTTTTTCACTGCCATCTAGAGGATGCTGCTCAGAATTCCTGAGAACTCTGTAGCTATCTCAAGATACAGTGACACTGAGATACAGAGTAACAGTATCACAGCTGATGGTATACCTAAAATACTTATTCCATAAATTAATTCTAGGTTTCAAAACTGTTCTGAGAAATTGTGTTGTTTTTTTATTATCTCTAGCAGTAATTTCTAAATTTTAACCATAGTTTATATTTGCATTAAAGCTTAGAAGGAAGAGATCTGTTGCAAAAAGTTTCTTAATTTTAGGAACACATGTAAACTGTTCCATTTGGGAATAGATGTCTGAACTGGTTGTTGTCAAGACTAATATTAACTTTGTGTGCAGGACTTCAATACATATACTTACAACACAATTTAACGTAGTAAGTTACATTAGTACGTCTTCTACTGGATTTAGAGATACTTTATAAGTTAGAAGCCTAATGAAAATTATGGTTTGTTTTTCAGCTGATCAGTGTGTGAGTCATTGCAGTGCTCGAACCTGTGTACTGGCTCAGGAAGAACAGCTTCTACAGACTGGAGACAAACAGTTGGCCAGACATGTGCTGCTGTGTTTACTTCTTGTTGTTGGCTTGTTTGCTGTAAATACTTTTTATCTCCCTGTTGTTTGAAGTAGAATGATTTTTAGGAAAGCCATGTAGACAGTCCAGTAGAAAATCTTCCAATTCCTTTTTTTTGTGGTTATATATATTTAATAAGGAGGCTTTATTTCAGTGTCTTGTTTTAAGGAATATATGATAAGATTAATTTTTCCATGCCACACAATAAATTAAAGGCAAGTTGAAGCTAATGGTGTTAGTAAGCAAGCCTCACTGGAGAACCCTAAAGGTACAAAGGAAAAAAAAATGGTATCATATTATTAGGTAATTAATTCTTCACCACTACCCCTCTTCCTATTTTGCTTAAGAGCTAGTCTTTTTTCCTAGATATTAAGACTATAAAACAAATTCTGAAGGAGACTGTACAAAAATTTTTCCATTTGATTTTGCTAGAATTTGGAAAATGTACTTCTTTGAGGTGTTTTTAGTAACGAAGATAATGTAAGGCATTATTTGAAATGGAAGAGTGCTGTTCTGTTGCTTTTAGTGATTTGGGGATAAGGTAACCGAGTTGGTAATGCCTATTAAATGGGGGGAAAAAAGGTTTTGATACAGGAAGTTTGAGAGAGAAATACTCTATTGCAATATATTTTACATCTTCTATGTAAAAGAGGTGTCCCAAATTCCCAAATTTTAGCCTCTATTTTAGTTGTATCTGAATGAATACTTACATACTATGAAATAATACTAATTCATTAACCTTTACACCCAAAGGGGTTAACTTTGGTGGTTTTTTGTTGTTGTTTTTTCCTTTTATCAGGCATCTAAAATAGCTGAAGTGGTATGTGCTTCAGCTTAACACAATGTTAACTATGTAGAAAATATTTAGAAAGTACTGGACTCGGCTAAACAGGCCTAAAGACAAATATTGCAAACCTGTCTGGGCTAATATTGTCTGTGTTGGCTTGCGTACTTAAGTATGCTTAAACCAAGTTCCTTATGTAAATGTGTGAAGAGGCAGGACCTCTACACTGGTATGTTTTCCATTATTTTCTTTAAAAACATACGAGCTCTTTTTTTCATCTAATAAGCCTAACTAAAATGATGTTCTAAGGGGTTTATTCCCTCTTACTTTTTATCTGAATTATTTGTTGAATAAAGGTAGTGAATGTTGTGTAAGAATCTTATTACCATGTGAAGACTTAGAAAGTACTTCTTAATTTATTTATTTTTAACGAGCTTGGTGGTTTTATTGTTTGATTGTTTTTTGTTCTCTTAACAGAATCTTTCCAGTTGTTTATGGTGGCTGTTCAACCAAGAGCCTGGAAGGCTATACGTTGAATTGCAGTTCTTTTGTGCTGTGTTTAATTTTGGTCAGGTAGTTATCAATGTTAATTCTGAAAGTTACTTTGACAGGCATTGCAATTCATTCTATTATGTGCACTGTAAGATGAAGTCCTCAAATAATGCTGAAGACAGCAGTTCTTTATTTTATTTAGCCTTTTTTTTTTCAGACCTTTTCCATTTCCTTGGATAGCTTTCTTATCATAATGAAATTGTTTCATGCGCGTGCTCACTTTCAAAGGTACAAATGGCACCACAGTGCCAAATGCCCATGGAGACTGAGGAGGATTTCAGCCTTATTCGTACCAGAAGGTTTCACCAGCTTCTATAGAATTGCACCAGTAAAACTGAATACATGCAAGATAGCTATGTGGATACTTTACCTATAAGGCTTTAAGTAATTATCTCTTCAGTTTCATTAACTAATGCCTGTCCATTAGATGTATAAATGTGCCAGCTGAACATAGTCTATTTCACATGCAAACTGACACAAGTTAGCATTGTTACCTATGAAGGTGAAAGCAAGGCAATATTAATACACTTACCAGAGTGTTGTTTGATAGATCAGTGAACAGGTGTGCCTCTGAGAAGCAAGTGCAGTATTAAGTAATGATATACTAGCTTTTAAACAAAAGCAGTATAGAAAAATGAATTAACGGGAGAGCATTCTAGCATTTAAATTGTCATCAGTTAAATCATTTCTTTGCTAATGTCAAGGAAAGTCAGATTTAAATAACTGGCTATGTAAGGATACTGACATTTTGTTTATCAGATGGCATGTCACAGCATTAGGTTTACTGAACTGTTTTTTTGACAGACTGTTATATATTAATCTGTCCTTTTAAGGACCAAATGAAAAATCAAAGCAGAAACAAAATGAATTTTAAATAGCATCTGTGGAAGAGAGATACCTTTCACTTGTGTTTTGGCAATGAGTTTTTAACATTTTCTTTCAGTTATTTAGAAACCAAACATTTTTGCTTAATCTTCTTCCTTTTTTTTTTTTTTTTTTTTTTTTTTTTTTCCTCTAGGGCTTCATTTCCTTTGGTATTTTTGGCTTAGATAAGCATTTAATCATTCTACCATTCAAGCGAAGGTAAGTAGAAAATTTACATTTATGCCTATAAACTTAATTATTAACACTAATCATTTTTAAGGGGCTGTGAGTGTTTAGTGCCATAGCATTCGATTTCCTATTTGTTTTATTTTTCAAATTTATTTTCATTCCTGTTGTGGAGAGTTAATTGCAGTTCACCATACATAAGATTTTACTGCTGCCCTTATGACACTCGCACAGACAAAAATCTCACAGTCTCCCTGTAGACAAAATCCTTGTCTAATGATGGTGAAGCAGGTGTTTGGGTCACTGAGGTGATGGATCTTCAGAAATAATTTCAACTGATAAATAACTTCAATGTGAATATTGAACCAGATTCTATCATCACTGTTTTAAAGTCCTGTTAGCTCATACAGATTCTTTGTGTGAATGGAGACTTTCATTGGTACCTCACTGTAGAGGAGTACAAAGCAATGTTTATTTTACAGCTGTCTGGCTGCAGTGTGAATCCAGCAGCTACAGCTGGCTCCCAACTACTCTCTGTCTGTCCTTCTACCAGCATAAAACCTCCCAGTGTTCAACAAGCATATGAGCATATGCTCCAAGGGAGCATATATAGCAGGTGGAGGGCCTGGAACACAAGTCCTATGAGGAGCAGCTGAGGGAACTGAGGTTGTTTAGTCTGGAGAAGAGGAGGCTCAGGGGAGACCTTATTGCTCTCTACAACTACCTGAAAGGGAGTTGTGGCAAGCTGGAGATCGGTCTCTTCTCACAGGTAACCAGCAATAGGACTAGAGGGAACTGCCTCCAGTTGTGCCAGGAGGGGGGTTTAGGTTGGAAATTAGAAGACCTTTCATCTTTGCAGTTTCCTTAAAAGTGCCTTCGTTTGATGTTTGTTTTTTCGGTCCTTCCCCCCCTCCCATTCCCCCCCGCAGACTTGAATTTCTCTTGGGAGGCAGAGAAGCAGCAGAGCATACAGATCCCACTCTACCCGAGGAAATCAGGATGACCTGTCAACAGTTTGTTCGTTATCATAGAGATCACTGTGTCAAAACCATTGTCAAAGGCAGAAGGTAAGGTTTTCAACCTGCACATATAGCTGTTATGAAAGGTCATATCTCACGTTCTGGAAATAATGAAATGCAGTATAGCTGTTCTGCGGGTGATGTCTGTTCTGGAATATTTATGGAAACTTTGAGGTGAGGATTAAGATCTTAGCAGTAACGTTTAGAAAAATATTTCCAGTCTAAAGCTGAAAAATAGAGGTACAAATTACCATGTTATCCCATTTAGGTTTTATAGTATCATGAGTTTTGTAACATAGCATGAAGACTTGGCCCCGGTTCTTCCATTTACTAGGAGTTTAGGAGACAAAATCTTTCTGAAGAAGTGCATATGACGATTCCTGTAATAGCATGTATGTCCATGAATTTTCATCAAACTTGAGATGCTTCATTTGTTTTGTTTTGTGATTAAGAAGGTGTTGGTATTTATGTTAGAGAGAGTTTACTAATAGATATTGCAGGAGGCAAAACCATTGTAGTAAAGGCCACTCGCTATGTGAGATTATAACGTTTTTAGAACACTTATACCTTTTGAATTCATACAGGTTTTTTTGTTCATGCTTCTCATGAGGCCTGAACCTCAATTTGTGAGATTGCCAAAGCTTGCAGACACAAATTATAATACCTGAATTGAAGACTATGTATTCAGGTATGTGCAGGTAGATGAGAAGTGCCAACAGAAAAAGCAGGAACGAGAGATTCTGTCTGCCTTTGTATATTTACTGTATGAAATAGAAATAGGAAGAATTGTTTGAACAAGACACTTTCATTTTTCTTGGTAGTAGGACTAGTTTTGGAGGGGAAGTTCTTTAAATGGTTAGATAAACTCAGACCACATTCCAGAACTATTTTTTGACAGCATTGGCTACTTTGGATCATTATTTCATTCAGTCTCCCCAGAAATCAGTAATGTTCCATAAGAAATAAATTCAGGGAACCTTGCTAATTTAGGAAAAAAAGAACTATGGCAGTTCAAAGACTTGTCAAACAAAAAAGCATCAGAAAATGTTTTAGAATAGGACAGGTATTATAGCTGTTTCCTCTGTTTCTGCTGTTATTGTTTCTTGGGCTTTAGGCCGTTCATTTGGTTCTTTTCAGTGCTTTGTTTGTTTGTTTAATTATATATCATCTAAGAATACATAAAATCTGACATTCATTGCTTTGTTATTATAATATTATGTTTGTGCAGAACTAGCTTCATGTCTTATTTCTCTTTGTGGTTTAAAACAAAGTATTTATCATACTCATCTAACTTGATTCTATCCTCTTCAATTTAAATATGCTGTAACTGAGACCTTGCGATCATGGACTTTTATTTTTGTTTTTATTTCTCTGCTAAGATATTAACACATGCTCTATGTTTCTGTTGCTTTTATCTTAGGAAAACAAACAAACACACAAACATTTTTTCTCTATTTTTTTATCTTGTATATTTATTAATCATCTTCAAAAACCCTGTGCTTGGCTTCCATAGAGCAGATTTTAGATAAGCAGAAACATTCATTGCTGCAGGTAAATTTCTGAATGGTATTTTTACTGCAGCTAGCTAGATGTTAATGGAATTGCTTCATAAATATGTAACAGAAAGTTAGTTTAGTCCTCTTGTAAATGTTTCATTTATTCTTAGTACTGCCTGTTGTAATAAATATTTAACCAGATATGCAAGTTAAATGGTTTTTGTTTACAATATATGTAAGTAGTTAATGTCTGCTTAAAGCTGTAGAGAAATTATAAAATGGCATTAAATTGCAGATTGAGGTCCTGCTGCTGCAGGCACTCAGCACTCAAATCATATTTTGTTGCAGAAATGGTCATGCTAATGAGTACATGGGAAGTAAGTATCCAATAAATAGACTCGCATTGTGTGTGTTTGTAGGAAAGCTGCTGCTTGTGTTCATTGAAGTTTATTTGCACAGACCTAAAATAACAGTACATAAATCTTACTTCTCATTGAATTGTCTGTAGGAAAAGGTAGTGAACGTTGGCATGTCCCTAAAATGCAAATCTTGCAAATTCTCTGCTAACATGCTCTTAACTATCATGATGTCTTTCCTTGTTTCCTGCTATTTTTCCTTGCCTTTTCCATCGTGCAGTGGTGATACCAGATTTACAGAACATGTGGGTGAATCATTCCTTTGACATACAGGTGTGGTGCAAAGATCTCCACTGGCATCTTCTTTGGCTGTGACCTGGTGAACTGGCTCATCCAAGTTGGCCTTGCCTCTGACCGTGGTGAAGCTGTGATGTATGGAGACAGACTGATGAAAGGAGGCGTCATCCAGCACATTACGAATGAATTTGAATTTCGGGATGAATATTTGTATTACCGCTTTATTCCTAAGAGATCAACTACAGTCGAGAGCCAGTGACCTGAGCATGTAGACAGAGGACGGGCAGGTGGGGTAAACGTGACCATCTCCTCTGCATTTGCCACCGCACCTGGAAGTGTCCCTTTCTCAGGGCTCCTAGGGAGTTGTGTCACACTCTCTTGTGGAGTTACGAAATGTGGTTCTACCTGTGTCTATTCTGAAGAAAATAGTAGCAAGTGATATTCTCAGTGAGTGTTCAAACCAGAATGCAGCTAGAACAGAACAAGGTACTTCGGATTTAGAGCATTTTCTCCATTTTCAGCAAAACAAACAGTGAAATTATGTGTGTCACTGATGTTTTTATACCTGCACTGTAACAGCAGCTTTAGTGACTGGTGCCACAATTGGGGGAAAAACAAACATATTCCTCTCATTGTGTTTTTTATGTTGCCATTTTTTTTCAGTATTTCAGTGTGATTTAAGGTCAGGCTTCCCACTGGCTTCACAGAAATAGGATTTTTTTCTCTGTTATACCCCAGTTTTTACTACTGTGCACTCTTGTCTAACACCAGAATTTTTTTTCTGGCTGTTTTTTACCTTGGATGAAGCACTTTGTTTCTCCCTTAAAGATAAAGTCCTCCACTCATGATAGCAGAATTGTTGTGAAGATGATTACAGTGTAAGAGGATTAACGTTGAGGAAACAGAGTGCGGGGAAAAAAGGTTTTGTACAACAATACCATGAAAACTTTACATATAAAAAGAAATAATAACCACCACTTTCCATACTAGGAAGCAATATAATGGATTTTATATATAAACAATTGGTTTTGAAGTTCTGCCTTTTGGCAGTACTAACAGCTTTGTCAAGATTTGCATTTTACCTTCTGAAATAAGCCTTTCCATTTTAATTCAGAAGTGCAAGCCTCAAAGAAAGAAGTTAGGGAAGCCCTGGATACCTGTGCAAGTTATAACCAAAAATTGTATCAAAATATAAAAACTTCTAAATGACATGCAATGACTTCTATTTCATAAACAGATGTAACAACTTCAAAGTTGGGCTTTAAAAAAAACTAAATACCTTAAAATGTTGTTATTGGGTATGTAACAAAGTTTCCTAGCAAGTCTCAGTATCCCTCTGTGACATTAAGTAGTTACTTCAGCGTCATTCAGTGTTCTGTGCACTGAAAGCACCATCTGAGAATCTCTACATCCGCCAGCATACTTTTGAAAAGGTTAAAAACAAACCATAGTATCTGACAGCCATTACACTGCCCTTCTAAATTGTAAGAATGGTATTTGTTTGTCTTCGTAAAATATTACCTAATGAAGGGAAAGAACACAGGTATTTGGGGGAAAAAATTGCTTACCTGGAACAGTCAAGCATTTGAACAACTCTTCTCACCTTCTTTCTTTTTTTTAAAAAAAAACAAGTTTTTTTTTTTTTAATACATAGATTTTATTACAACTACTTATGTGTCTACTTTGTATTAAGAATTAAAACTGATTTTAGTAGCATAAACTGCTGTTCAGGAAACAGTCATTTTATGGTAGCTATAACTCCATGCAAGACTTCTATTGGAAAAATAATTCTTTTTACTGTCAGTCTTATTGCACATCTGCGGTCTGCACTGAAACATAACTATGTATGTATACTATACAAGCTGACATTTTAATGTTTTCCAACAACAGAATTGATATTTGTATCAGGCTGCAGCCACAAAGAAAATGATAGCTTATTTCCATTACAATTGCTGAAGACAGCTACATAAGATATTTTGGAATAATTAAATATACGTCGCTTAAGAGTAGAAGCTATGAGTATGTCTGGCTTCTAAATACTGTAACTTATCAATAAATCTATTATTTGATTTCAGAGTTCTGAGTTTTGGTGTGATACAAGAAGTGGGAGGGTTACATGTGTGTGTCAAGTTTTATAAGAAATATGTCTGAGAAGTTTGTTAAAGTGGCTCTTGGATTTCAAATTTTGCTGTATCTTAAATCCATTCTTGATGCTTTATAAGTATGTAGATTTGTTAATGGATGCCCACCAGTTTTCTTCTAACAGCCTGCCTGCTACTTATACCAGCAAGGAGCTAATTCAGATCTTTAGGAATTTTTTTGTATTATCCTCTCCTTACCAAATATGTACCTTTGAAGATCCTTCAATTTTTGAAAAAGTTGCTCTTAGTTCAGTTTTATGCTCCAAAACAGTCATTGTTCTCTCACTCATCTCTGTCATTTTCATCATTTAAGTCCTTGCCCTGGCCTTCCTTATTATAATGGCTCTCATATTCCCTGCATTTGATCACAACGTACCTGTCTTAAGTAAGAAACGGTCAAAACATAGACTAAAGAATTTATCAATCAAATATGGAACAAGCTAATCTATTCCTAAATCACTGGGTACTTTTGGAAACTAAGAAGAGACTTTGAATAACATTAGAAAGTTACCTAACTCGTATTTGACAAGTATTTGCTTCCACCAAGGAGTACCACTAAGCTGTAAAAATAGTTGATAATCCAGTGTATGTAAATACTTTGTTTATTGATGTGTGAATTTCTGGTGGTTAGAAGTAGCTTTGCTTTGAAGATGTGGCCAGTGGTGCAGTAAGTTCTTTTATTTTGAAGGCTGATTAGTTTGGGATAAATACTGCTTAACCTGAAAGCTCTAATTCTGTGAAAACATTCACTGAACAAGATAGTAAGTCCAGGGGTATCTCCAACGAAAGACAGCATTAATTTTTTTAGCATTCATTTCAAAATACTTACGATAATGGATGGGGTAGATATTAAACACTTAAAATTTTTTGGTAGCAGTTTTCTTTTTTTTCTTAAATAATGAGCCTTCATAAAACTAGATGAAATACATGCAACGATTGCCCTCTAGAGGACTTTCTGATTGTTGATACTTTTTTTTTTTTTTTAAATTTATGGTTGCAGGATGGAGGGTCATTTATTCCTTCTGGTTTCATCCTTGTTTTGCATTTTGCACTGCATGTGTTCTAGGAGGATGAAATCCCAGGAAGAAAGGTACCAAAATATACCATAGTCTGTCAGCCATGGCTTGATCTATCTGAAAACACATTGTTTTTACTGTGTGTCCTGTAGACAAATAAATGAAGGACAACAAAAAACAGAGGAATAGCTGGACTGTGTCTACCTATATTAGAACTTGACCACTATGCTTAACCTAGTAAGACTGGTTAATTGACACCCTGTAATTAGATGGACAAAAAATTCACTTAAAAGCCTGTACCACAACTTTCACTACTTCCATTCTTCTATAACTTTACTCTAGTTGCAGTATCACATAAAATTCTCTGTCTCACTCTGCTACACTGCCTGTAAACTTGAATGGTACCTTGGTTTCCAGCACTGTTTTACCTGGCATTTATTGCTTCTCTGAAGTTATCAAGGAGCTAGCATGGAAGAGCTGATGATACAAAACAGCACACCATGATGCAAAGAATTGTCAGATACAGACATCCAAAGAAAACAGGTAAATACAGCAAACTTTTATTAAATATACCATCCAGTTCATGAACATCCTTTTATTATTCTAATAAATTTTGTTGGCAACACAAGCACAAAAGGTTCACAATCAACATGTGCTTACTTTCATAGATCTTACTTGCTGCTGCCACTTGGTACATATACGATCCCTAGAACTAGGAAGTTCAAGAACTTTTGCCAACCCTTTAGATTTTTGGTGTGGATCTAAATACTTTCATTGTTAGATCAAGTACACATTTTATCAAACTCCTCATCTTACAGGTTTAGCAGCATTCAACAAACTTCATTTTAAGTGTATTTCTTTTATTTGCCTAATTGTTTTTTCCAGTGGGAATATAGAATGGCTTGCAAAATGAGAAAACTGTATGTGTAGCCCCATCTTTTGCATCTGAGATGAGATGACTCTAGCATCTTGACAAAATATAAAGCATTCATCAAAGAATGGTCTTACTGTGGTCTGGGGGGTTATTGTATATTGTCACGTATTACCTATTACCACTGCAGCCTCAATGCTCCACTTCATGTTACATGTTCTCACCTGAAGGTTTGCAGAACTGTTTTTTTTTGTTTGGTTGGTTGTTTTTTTTTGTTTGTTTGTTCTTTGTTTTAATCTGGTTATACTTTTTATCCTGCTTGATCACATAGTCAAGTCGGAACCTTACTTCTTTGTTTGCTCTGTTTGCCCCTTGCCATGGATAATAAAGTACTGACAGCTTGATCACTACTTTTAAGCAAGACTGGCAAGGAATTGCTCCTGGCAGGGCAAAAAGCTTATTTAAATCAACTCCTTAAGTCTACCAATTTTGGTAAAACAAGGTATGGTTAAAATGGCTTATATGAAGTGGAAAAATTTTGAAGAGTTTTTTTTTTTTTTTTAAGTGCTCTACTGAGTGCAAGTATATACTCATGGACCCTGACTTCTTCCATTTTAGTTGCCTGATTTAAACAAAAAAAAAAAAATCAAGAAACATTTAAAAAGTCCCTCACAGTGTTATAAAGTGTACTGAAGAATTAAGAATTAATTTACAATGATCATGTTGTATTTAAATAAATAATTGTGTGGTAACTTGCTAGACACTAACATTGTTGAATCCCGTATAATCAGGTTTCACAACAAATTATGGTAAAGCTGTAATTGATTTAGGTTTAGCCTAAGACCTTAAGCTCTTAGCCTTATTTCACATTAAAGGAGTAGAAAAGTCATATATGAAACATACCTTACAAAGCCTTTATCAAACAGCTGAATATCAATCTCACTTGACTTGCATATCACGTTCCTTTTAATTTAGTAAAAAGCAATATTTTTCTACATTTTAGAAAAGCCTCTAGCCTGGCTGTTTTAATTCAAGCAGTAGGAAATTCTGCTACAACAATTATCTTAACTATAAAACCTACATGTGTGTAGCTACATTGGTGTTCTTCATCCAAAGATTGGGTTGTTCAGCAACTTAAGTCAAACTACTTGAATCCTAATTGCATCTCAGGTTGTTGGTGAATCAATCTCTGCTGTCAGTTTTTTGCCACTTAGAGAGGTACTGCCAGCTCTGAAGACACTTTTCAGCCTTGCTTCCTACAACTAAAAGCTATTTGGCCTAAACAGAGAACTGCAGCTTTAAAACTGTCCATACTAAGTAACTGGTATATTGAAAATATGAGGTAATCTATATAGCCACTCCATTAGAAGAGTTAACCATAACAACAAATTATAATCCATTTATTCAAATAGTAGTTTTAACTACTATATATTTTGAGTTCTTCTTCTACACACTGTGAAAAAAGGTTGACCACCTGGTTAGTGTCAAGACATCCGTTTTGCAGGATTGATTCCATTTCATTTATCTTACTTTTCTCCAGCATCTGTATCTTTTGCAGCATCTCTTTTCCTTCGTCCTGCAAAAAGAAATGCCTGTATTTCACCACAAGCCATACAAAATATGTAGTGTTCACCCTAACAAAATGCTGTTGTACTGTCCTTATCTAACTCTAATTGTTTCTAGGGTACAAGTTGGTGTTTGTAGAAGTTAGCATCAAGGTAGATTTTCTTAGATCAGTGCTTCTTTTCTCATTATCTAGCATTCATTCTGTCTCCCTACATCCTTTGATGGAATGCAAAAAAAAAAAAAGGGGGGGAGGGGGGGAGGGCATGAGAGCTGTTACGGGTGTTTATGTTAGCAACCCCACTTAAGTTTCATGTCTTTTTTTTTTTTTTTTTTTTTTTTAGAACACGTTAGCTGTGTAAACAGGAGACACCACTGTTACAGGTAAGCACCGCCCTGTTTTACCTTTGTGCCCAGCTATCTTTGTGATCTCTCCTTTCCTGGTGTCACACAGAAGTTCCTCAATGTGAACTGCTTAACGCTGTGTTGTTTTGGCTGCTTCACAGTAACTTACGTATTTCAGATTTCTATACTGCTACCTCCTTTCTATTGCCATTTAGGTCAGCAAAATTGGGGTCTACAAACTGTACCTATTGTCATAGAGCTACATACAAGTCATGCGCTTTAAACATGTTTCCAAATTCTAACCGGTTTTAGTATTTGGTACTATCTGGTGCTGTCAGGATCTTGAGAAGATATACTAGTGAATGTAGTGTCAAGGTCATCAGCGAGATGCTAATTTGGGGAAGAGAGGAAGAAACTAGCACTGGGGCAAGAAGAGAGAATAAGGGGGGGGAAAAAGCAGCAGAAGATTGTGTCAATACATAACTAGAAGAACTGGCTTTACAACAGGAGCTGAAGTTGGTGTGGGTAAGGACAAATCAACTATTCAAAAAAAAAAAGCTATTTCCATTGTTTATCGTGGTGGGGCGAAGAATGTCTCATTACCCTCTAACCCCAGAACTGACATACCGTAGTATCTAATACACTCACTAGGATTAGTTGGAATTTGGTGCCAAGATGTCGTTATATTAAATCAACCTGAGGCACTTACAGAAACTGAGTAAAATGCAAAATTCAGGTTTTGCTCCTAAGCTTGTCTGGTATATGGTGTACCTGAGGGGGTCTACCCCCACCACAGAATGGAAAAGGGCAGGATCTCCTTACTGACCCATATTTGCCTGCAGCTGCTCAACCACTTCCTTGTTATCTAACTAGTTTGTGCATGTGTGGCCTGCTTCTTTGCAATATAAGCAGTACAAATAGCTGTACACCCAGGCCTATCCCCAGACAACCAAGTGCTAGTTTCAGTTTTTTGTGTTAGAAGCATATGCCTGCCAGATGCCAAGATGATTGGCTTCTGGTGCACTACAGTGTTCTTTACTATCCATCAAAGGGCATTAAGTGGTATTGCATTAACAAAATGTGAGCAAGGAGCTTATACAAACCACCTGCTTGCATTGAAATCTAATTTAATCAACATACCTTCATGGCTTCCATAGCTACAGCAGCACTTTCATGTTTTTTATAGAGCTCATGTCTTCGATCTGGCTTACTCTGAAAACGTGGTTGCTTCTTAACTGGATCATCATGACCAAATGTAGGGGAGGTGGTTTTCAATAACTGAGTAACATTGGGCACAAAAATGAAAGGCTTGAATACGGACCTAGAAAGAGAAAATAAAACAGAGATCCTTCACCGATACAATTTTGATAAAATTAAGTCAGTAGATTGCTGTATTTTCCCCATACTTCTACTTGCTTCTCTCAAGGAAGAAGTTTTTTTTTTTTGGTTTTTTTTTTAAAGTTTTTAAAAGTTTTAGAAGTTTTAGAACTTATTTTAGAACTTTTAGAAGTTTAAAGAAAAAAAAAAACTCTAAAAAAAATCCTTTAAAAAACATCCTAATGCGTTTTTAAGTCAGTGTCATAGCAGTGTTCCAGTAAGTAAGTTGGTAGATGACACCAAAATGTTCATAAGCATTACTTTTGCCCTGCTTTTTGATTTCTTTCAAAAACAAACCAAATCAAAAAGGAATGTAGTTAGATAAACTGCAATACTTTTCATTTAGATACTTGTACTTGCAGCTTTTTATCATAATGTTACTACATCACCTTGCAGGGTCTGGAGTTCCTGTAAAGAAGTGAATACAAGGCAGATTAGGCTCCTGAGGCAGTACAGACACCATGCTTCCAGTTGTCATAAAACCGCCTTCCATATTAATGCCACTCTCTTTGTCACGAAGAATTTCCATCATTGTTTCAGAAGTGATAGAACCTATTTCAGATACAAAACAATTATTTACACAAAACTCTATTTATACTATCAACTAAATGGCATGTTTTCTACAACTGGCTGCTTTTACTTTCAGTAGGCAATGCTAATTTTAATTTGTATTGGCAAATAAAAAAAAAATCCCAACAGTATGCTTTAATATGTAATATACTTTAAAATACTACTGTTTTCCCACAAGAATTTATTTCAGACGGTAGGTGATAATGAGCTATAACATTTACGATCAGGGAGAGGAGGGTGATGTTTCCCAGAAGGGTAAGATACACATGGCTAGCAAATGGTCATTCACACAGTAACTTTTCAAATGAAAATTAGTAGCTTGGATTAAGGGCTGAACTTTCTAAGTATTATGTGGGAGTTGACAAGACAAATAATCATATTAGTTATTGGTATTTGTACACAGTTGATACCACGAGGCTGCTTTGAAAATATAAAAAATGATAACTGTGCATGGATTTTGCATGTTATTTTGAAAATGAAACACCAAGCCTGTGGTTATTTTTTTTTTTTGGTTTGGTTTTAACATCTGACCTTTCAAAGCCCTTAGACTACATATTGACAGTTGAAATGATGCACTGGAGTAACTTAAACCCAGAGTCAACAGAAACTAAAATAGCACATCCATTTGCAAAGAAGATTTAATCAATTACCTATGAGATGTATAGTGTCCTTATGACAGTAACTCTTTCTTCTCAGTGAGGTGAAACAGAACCCCTTCCACTCTGCATCTGGCCTTCAAATGCTGTTGCCGTTTGTGTACTGTACACCAGAGCTTAAAGGCTGGTGTAGTACAGTATCACTACACCATCCAGTATTCTAACAGGCAGTACTTGAAGTAGTTTTCTTTTCAGATTTGGTGTACCAGTTGAACATATGTGTAGAGCGGAAAAAGAATAGGTAATTCACTATTTTTTCCCTCTACTTGAAGGTATTGTTAATTTTTTTGTTGCTGTTGCCTCGGTGAAGTTCTAGCTGCATTTTTTTTTTTTTAAACTGCCTAGCCGTCTGTTCTTACAATATACTACTGCTAAGTCAGATGTTCCTTTTTTTTTTAATACACAATCTGAATTGCCTGTAGACAGGCATGCTAGGAAATGCACTATTTCAGCAAGCAAACACACATAACTATTCCCACAGTTGCCTGGGCCAGTCAGAATTCAAAAAATCAGCACGCTAGATAAACTGAAGAAATTAAGCAGCAGCAGTCAGTTTGTGAGCTGCAAGTTGGCAACTTGTCCAGCAGAAAGGATGGTATTACATATTTTCTACTAGGTTTTTTTTTTTTTTTACATTACTTTATATTCCTGAAATACATTCCTTATATTTTGAAATGTAAATGTTTATCTAAAAATGGTGTTCCTGTGGTAGACAGCCTGGAAAAAAACTTTAATGCCACTAAGTGAAAAAGCTGGGAAGGGTAGATTAAGAAACTAGCGATTTTACTGCTGCTCTAAACTAAATAGCTTTTAGTTAAGGCACCTACTTTAAAATAAATCTCAACAAGACTGAAACCATATGAGGTTGATAACCTGAACACCTAGTGTGATTGTTAAAATGGTTCAGGTAAAAGCCTGAAAATGGGGATTTAGAATGAAAACCCTGATAGAATCTCAGCGTTATCATCATACAGGTAAATACAGGTATTATGAAAATGCTTTCAGTATTCAGAACCTGCAATTCCCAAAATGAATGCAGGATTTACATGATCACTATAGCAGGACAGTAAAAGGTAATTCATTCTGATGCATGAACTAAATGCTAAACTTGGCCTGGCAGAGCTTAGCCAAATTAAAAAAACAAAACAAAACAGGGGTGCAATGTTATTTTGGTTCAGATTAATTATTTCAAATGAACAAGTGAATACGGATGCATCAAAAAGCTTCCAGATGGATGTATTTGGAAGTAATAGCTTCTCTCTATACAGGTCTGAAAAATAAGTTAGCAATTAGGAGAACCTGCTTACTATACAGAAAATTCCTTTATTCTGCTCTCAGTGTTTCATTAGAGTGCATAAGGTTGCTGTAGCAGTTACTGGTGAAACCACAAAGATTTTAAAAACAATCTAAAAAATAAATGCAAGATGTGTGTGAAAACACTGTGCTGACGTCTTAGGACTGTATGAATAGGACCAGGTTAAAGTTGTTCACAGGGCTGTTTGTGGCTGCCAACCAACGGGAGTCTCTTTTGGCCTCCACCTGTAATTACGGGTATAATAATAATACATAGCCTGTCAAAGTGTTTCAGAGCAGGGCTTATCGACTACTTAGCTGTATGGTCATAATGTGACCTCTCAGCATTGTCACTGTAGTTGTGTCTGATGATGGACCCTTGGCTTAATTTTTCCTCAACACCAAATTGGCAAAATGGATAGAAGACTCCAAAGTTCAGAATTTCTCCTTTAAGGAAAAAGTTGTTCTAAGAAATTCTGGTTCACCAAATCATCAGCATCAGATGTTTAATCATTTATGATTTAAATTAATGTAGCTCACTAAACACTTTGCATCTCTTTTAAAAAAAAAAAATCAAAAATGATACCTTTGTGTTTGTTCAGAAGTTTGTAGCCTTCACAATAGCGGCCCCTGGATGTAGTCATTCTGGCAGTATTTACGTAAGAATATGTGGCAGCAAAATCAAATTCCTTTTCCCCATCCCACCAGCCCTTGCTTTTGGCATATTCCTTCAGCTCTGGATGTTGTCTGTCAATCTTGGTCGTGATAGAGAGCTGGTTGGAAATATTCCGTACACCTCCTGCTTGGAAGGTGAAGAAAGAGTTATTTTAATTCTTCAAATGCTTTTTCCAAGCACTTTGCTTCAGTAAGCTGCTAAGCTAAATGTAAACAAATGATGCATTGAAGAGTTTCCTACGAGATCTGTGCAATGTAAACAAATGATGCATTGAAGAGTTTCCTACGAGATCTGTGCAATAATGTAGTTTGGTGGGTTTTTTTGCACTCTCTCCCTGGCTGCATGCATCTTGATTTTGAAATTCCGCTGCTACCTCAGTTCTGAGTCATTTACTTCTACCACCACCATCATATTTCGGGTTCTGTCCTGATTATTCCTGTCTTTGCATTCTTCCTCTTACACCTCCAAAGACACAGCTTGTCCCTTTAAGTCCACTGGAAGAATTGACCGCTTCAGGACCCAATGCACTGAATCTGTCAGTATCACCCTGTCACCAAATGAAATTGTAATCGATTACCATCATCTTTAAGACTACACATCTCGTCCTGACCTTGCTGTCCTCTGTTTTCTAACTGCAGAAGTGGTCATCTCTGAACAGGCCTCCTGTGTGTCTCGGCTTCTCTCTCAACTCGCTACCCTAAGATGCAACTCTTGTTGCTCACAGGCACGTATATATCTGGAGGTTAGATTCATGCCTTAAAGAAATAGTAACTGAAAACTAGAGATTTGCCATTTGTCACTGCATTCAAAATACTTGAAACAAAAAGCATCATCCATACCTTCTACTTTTTCTGCTGCCCAGTATTTTCCTGATGTCTCCAGCACCCAGGCTTCCTTTCTGTCAGCTATCAGAAAACTGTTATGGTATGTAAAAGCCATGTGGCTCTCCATACAGTTTCCTCCCTGTCCATATTTTTCTAGCAAATCAACTATGACAGTAAGAGCCTTTTCAGCTGTGTCTGCTCTCTCGAGTCCAAGCCTAAAACAAAAGGAAGATGTTATCTTTGGAACCATAAACTTTAAACATTATCTATTCAGCATGAATATTCAAATTGAACTGGAATTCAATTAACAGTCAAAAGGAAATGCAGAAAGGTAGGCAGAGGGCTCTTAGGAAGTGCCTCTGAATCTGAACTGGGTATTGGTCTGGGGGGGAACCAGTACAAAGAGCTGACTGCCTGCTGCAGGTTAATGAGTTACACTGGCACCCAGTGACACAGACAAAAGAAATTATCATTGTTTACATGGAGATGTATGGCTAAGAGTGAAACTTTGTAGTACGTGTGTGAAAGATGGAGGAAGTGGGAAATGAGAACAGACCCTAGGACAGCCCCTGTACTTTTAACCAGCCCAAACACTAATTCCTGTGGTTCAGCTGTGCTTTTAAGAGTCTTGGCTCAGTTTAGCATATGCTTTGCAGAGAAGAAAGAAGTGTGATAGTTTCCTTCAGATTCTGTTCTGGTGTGTGACACCTCCCCAGGCCTCCCAGCTCCCGGCAGCGCTCCCTGCTGTGCCAAGAAATGCTTATTTGAGCCAGGGCTGGAACAGCAGCATAGACGGGTGTGTGTCCTGAAAGTGCAGGCAGGCATTACAGAACTGAACAGCCGTGCTTTAAAGCTAAATCCAGGCGGGGTACCACTGACCAGCCCAGCCCGCGCAGACCTCACGAGATCCATGCCCAGCAGAGCTTCATCATCGCAGACTTCGTCTCGGCCCCACACGGCCTCGTTGCCGATGCACACCCCGTGCTCGTTAGCGCCCATTTCTGCTCCCCACAGCCACGAGGGCCGGCTCAGGACGACGGCGTGGGTGTGCGGAACCTGCTCGATCTCGATGTAGGTGCACTGCAACGAGCCGGAGCGCGGGGCGAGTCACGGTGCGGGCAGCCCGAGGGAGCCGCTCGGGCCGCGGGTGCGCAGCGGGGGAGGGAGGCGGGGAGGGCGCTCACCTGCAGCGCGGCGCCGGGCGGGTGCTGTGCGGCGGGGCAGTGCAGCACCTCCTGCACCTCGTCCCGCGGCCGGTCCGAGTTCTTGCCGAACACCACCCGGCCCCCGGCCGCGGCGGGCGGCAGCGCCACGAACGTGTCGCAGGAGCGGGGAGGCGGCCGGGCGGCCATGGCGCTGCCTCTGCGGCCGGGGCGGGGCGGAGCGCGGTAAGGGAGGAGGAGGAGGAGGAGGAGGAGGAAGAGGAAGGCCCGCCCGCCCCGGAAGGCCCGCAGCCGGCCCGGTGCGGACAGCCGGCGGCTCCCGTCTCGCAGCCGCAGCCATGGGGAAGTCGTTCGCCAACTTCATGTGCAAGAAGGATTTCCACCCCGCCTCCAAGTCCAACATCAAGAAGGTGAGGGGTGAGGGGGGGCGGCCACGGGCAGGGAGCTGGGGGCCTGCGGGGTCGGGGCTGCCCCCGCGGCTCGGAGGAGCAGAGAGGGTCGGGCAGCTCCACTCCAGCTCACGCCCCCAGGAGATCAGCAGCGTGAAAGCAGGCTGCCGGCTGAAAGCAGGCGGTAACTGGAAATTCAGAAGCGATTCGCGTTGATTTTGGTGTTCTCGTTTTCTAATAAACGTCTCCTGTGGCATAAACTGACCTGTCATGGCAACGCCGCCCTCAGTGCTGTCTTTTCAAGCTGCTGATTTTGGTTTGGAAAAGCAAACGTTAATAAACAGCGGGAGGAAAAGGCAGGAAAAAAAGCTTAAAAATAGTTTAGTTAAGACTTCCTCACAGGCTTGTGTAACTCTCTTTCCCTGGCTCCACCTCCTGAAGACGCGTCTCCCTTGATAAATAAACACCATCCACCGACCAGGGAGCCCCCCTCCTGGCACCGTGTGCTCTCCTTTTCCCAGTATTTCCCCACTGTCTGACCTGGCTGCTGAGATTTCATCCCCAAAAGAAAAAATTTCACCGTTCCCAGAGCTCCTGAGAGAAGCTGGGGTCCGATCAGGGTCTGCCCTGAGCCTTGGGTGTCAGGGTGTTGGTACAGGAAAAAACAGGGCATTTTCTGAACTTATTTTCCATTTGTGTTCCTAAACTTTTCCACGTTTTATTTCTGAAATGTTGTTTAAGTTTCAGCTTATCTTTTCTACAAAGTTAATTTACTTTAGACTAAACAAGTGATGAAGTTGTACATGGATCTGTACAGTAAGTCCTTGTTTGTTTAAAGTAGAAATTGACTTGTTTTTACTAGGTATGGATGGCAGAACAGAAAATATCATATGATAAAAAGAAACAAGAAGAATTAATGCAACAGTATCTTAAAGAACAGGAATCCTATGATAACAGGTGAGAATTGGCATACCGTCACATGCTTCTTCCTTCCACCTCCTCTTTTCATGACAGCGAAGGTCATCTTAGTGTGAGTTATTTCACAGACTGTCCGCCACTAACCGTAAGTGAGGTCAGTGACTTGTGTGTTATTATCTGTTTAAGCAGAAGTCGCAAGAACTTCTTTCAAAAGATTTATGTGGGTCCTCATTTTCCTTTTAAAATCTGCTACATTGAACAGAACAGCAGGTAACCTTGTACAGTGACATACTCTGATCACACAGGAATCTGTCTTCCATAATTTTGTGAACACAGAATTGTGTTTCAGTTGTGTTTGAAATGTGTGATCTTTGGTACACAGTGGAGCATACAGAAGTGTTGACTGGTCTCTCAGTTCTTTTGCTATTCAAGATTTGGTGCTCAGATTAACAAATGACAAATTTCAAGTTGCTATCACAATTTCCTGCTGCACATTTCTTTCTTTTTTTCTTCAATAATTAATATGAATGTGAATGTTTTGTGTGTAACACTACAAACTGTCTTTTTCATTTAGATTGCTTATGGGTGATGAGCGTGTGAAGAATGGTCTTAATTTCATGTATGAAGCCCCACCTGGAGCAAAGAAAGGTACTCTGGTTTCCTGATTGTGAGCAAACAGTGTAGCAAAACTAAAATCACTCCAAAGAAACAAGCATAGTGTCTTATATTTTAAAATAACATTTTCAAAGCGAGTTAATGCTAGAAGGTATAGTTTTTAGTTCTTCCTGCGGTAATATGTGGAGATGCATAGTATTTAATAATTTTGTTGTAATAATAGTTTGATTCCTCCTAAACTGAGAAATTGTTTTTAAGCGGCAGTTCAATGTGAAGAGAAGAAAAGGATAAAATAACTTTTATGGCAACAGCAGAAATTCAGTCTTTGACTAAAGGTGTTTCTCTAGCCAATTACAAAGTCATTGCATGAGGGGCACGAACACAGTAACTTACCAACACAGTAACTCAGACTACACAAACCTGTGTTTTGGCCTGCTCTCCTTTTTAGAAACAGCAAGGTCAGTTTTGCTTAAAAGATCTGCTCAAAATTCAGCCTGATCCATGTCAGGCATGGGAGATATCAAGGAGTTAATTAGCTGAAGTATTATTTTATTTCTTTAAATAAATACTGAATGATCCAACTCTGGTGGGTCTGTGACTATGTTTAGTAGATTCATAAATAGGAGTTACTGATTACGGTCCCTACTGAGCTGAATTTCTGAATTTTTATTTTTGAATATATATATATATAATTCTATCTGCAATAATTAAGCCAAAATATTTCATCATATTTGCCTGAAATATTTATTTTCATCATATGTAATATTTTCATCATATTTACTGAAATATGACCTTTTAATTTTTTAAAAGTTTTAAATATGACACTTTTAACATGAAGCTGTACTGATAAGTATGGGCCCATGGGACTGACACAGTGATTGACACAGTAGTTTTTGTTAAGTAGCTTTTAGGGTATTTTTGAGATCCTTTTAACCAAAGAATTGAGTTTAATATAAATTGAACCTGCTTTGCAGTAAGCCCATGCCTGCTAGGAATCACGTTAAACTTTGTCAGAGGAAAACCTTTCATAAATTGCAATTTCAATTTCATGAATTGGCTAGTGAAAAAACGCATTTTAACAGAGTACTGTACTGTAGGAGGCACTAATTTATTTTGAGAAATGTAGGTTAGGTTTCTCTACTAAGCTTCATCTATTAAATTCCAATTGAGTTGACTATAAAGTTAATGATAACCTACCAGGGCAACTCCTTGTATAACTGGTATGACAGACGAAGTAACTATGAAACAAATCCTTCTCTCTCTGAAAAGCAAAGAAAACTTCACATTGTAGAGTCCAACTCCAGGACATTTCTGCTGCCTGATTGTATAATGTTGCTTTGGTAAACTTTTAAAGTTTTTTGTGCTTCTATATCAAAGCAATATAATTCTAAGAAGATTAGGTTTCAAAGGATTTGTAACTGCACATACTAGAAGCTGATTATTTATTAGTGTTCTCTATTTACTTTATGTTACTTTCTGAGTATTTGTGATATTGTATTAGTATAAACCATAAAATACTTTGTTTCCAGATTAGGTGACAGCTGCATTTTAAATGTATAATTAATGTATCATCTCTTTTCTTTTCATGATTTCTGAAAACTTGAAGAGGAAGCTAAAGAGGTATTTAATTCCACCATTTCTTTTGCTTTCTACCTATTTACTTGATTTTTTATTTTTTTTAAAATCAAACTTTCGGTGTTTTCTGTTTTACAGCAAGAAGGAGAGACTGAATACAAATTTGAATGGCAAAAAGTCGCCCCTCGAGAAAAGTAAGATATCTCAATTTCATCCAAAGAAATATATATTTTTTCCTATATACCTTCCATAACCTCTTATTTTTCTTACTACTTATTCTTTTTAAGCAGGTTGTATGTGTAACCCTTCCACGTCCTTGCAGTTAATTAGTAAAACCTCTAAACCTGGAACCGTTTCCTTGATCAGCTTAGTTTTTGTTTGAATTTTATGTCCATATTTGAAAATACATTAAAGCCAACATTTACCAGAAGCATATCTCTGAAATAGGTACACTTAACAATAAAAGGTCTCAAAGTAGTTTTGTATGTGATGATTTAAAAAAAAAAAAAGCGAATTTAATATGTTTGTTTTTTGTGTTTGTGTAACAGATATGCTAAGGATGATATGAATATCAGAGATCAGCCATTTGGTATCCAGGCAAGTTACATAAATTTCACTCTGTGGATGTCTTGGGTATATTTCAAATATTATCTTACCGCAGAACATTCACATGGACTCTCTTAATTTTATCATCTGTTTATCAGTGAGTTTAAAAGCTTTTTTTATGCCTAATAACATGTACATTTCTTTAAGTGTTAGGTTGAATTGTTAGGTAAATTATGGTTTGTTTGTTTGTTTTCCTTTTAGGTGCGGAATGTGAGATGTATTAAATGCCACAAATGGGGTCATGTAAACACTGATCGAGAGTGTCCTTTATTTGGCCTTTCTGGAATTAACGCGAGTTCAGTCTCCAGCGATGGTTCAGGTAGGCAGTGAATGCCTTTCAAAGGGTCTGGTTAGAAATGTTGGGGAAAAGCATCAGGTTTATTTTGGAAGGTTTAAGTTTATCTTATTTGAAAGGGTTAATAAAATGGGGAAAATGCTTCTTTATTTCAACGGTGCTATCCCCAATTTCAAATTACTTCAAAAGCTAGGGATCTAATTGTTTAATTAGTAACACATTTTAAAAAGAATCTGTAAACAGTGTTGCCTTTAATTCTATCTGTGGCAAAAATTCAGAAGCTGCCATTAAATTGTTTATATAAGATTGACAATATCTGTCACAAAACAAAACAAAACAAAACAAAAAACAAACAACAACAAAAAAAAAACATATTGTCAAAGACTGTCCCAGTTCAGAAATTCAGATTTGGACAAACTGCTTGGAAATCTGTAATGTAGCAGTATGTCTTCGCTAATCATCTGGGGGAAAAGGAGAGTTTGTTTGTTTGTTTGTTTTAATATATGTAGTTGGTTTTAATATGGACAAAACCATCTTTACAAATGCCTGGTTTCTTCTCAGCTGTCTTATTGTTGCTTCAGGAACTACTTTTTTTCTCTTTATGAGTTTTCTGTTAGTATTAGATTAAATTTAAAGAAGTGGATGGATATAAACATTCAAATGGAATGTTGTTTGCCTACAGTAGTTTGTTATAAGTTGACTCAAGTTTGTAACACTTCTGATATTCTTAAAGTTGGGGTTTGTTAGGAAACACTTGGTAACATAGGTGAGTCTTCAGACTTGTTTTGCATTTTAAGATCATGTGCCATGTGTATTCAGTTTTGTAGGGATA